AAGTGCGAGTTGGCACGTCAAGCTAGCAAGCAAGAGGATGAAGTCGTTTAAATGCCAAATCGATGTTATTATTATTTATGAGAATCCATACGGCGCCGCAAATAAATAGACAATATGTTGGTTTTTCAATTTTCTTCATTCAAACCATATTTATTATGTACTTACTGTGTTTAATAAAAATGTAATTCGTTTTTACTCTCTTGTTCTAGACATAGTAGGTGTCAATTCTATCAAACAGATTCACAATTTTATTTTGAAGAAATTAATTATATAAATAACTAGCGACCCGCCCCGGCTTCGCACGGTTGCAATACTGATACTAAATACACTACAGAAAAACTGTGAACGTTGTGGTATAAAATATATAGCCCATGTAATTAAAATCGATCCAGTAGTTTTGATTTATTCATTACTGCCCCTGGCCCGCACGCGTTAAATTTGGAGTAAAACAATCCCCCTTTCCCTATACCATGAAGATTTCCTGCTATCTTTGGAATATCTAAATTCATACACTACATTTTTACTTATTTACTTTTCACATTTTACTGTGCCGCAGTAAAAAATATCTAAATTCTTACCATTTAGAAACAAAAGATAATCAACAATCATAAAAAACAAAATATACCTATTCTATTCAGTTCTTTTTTTTTTACTGAAATACCTCTAATTTATATTTTAAAACTACTATCATACAATTATTTATCGTAACTTACTTATAATTACTGATACGTTGTCGCGCTGAAAAGAACGTTTTTATTACCTAAGTATTGCTATTTTCCTCACTGGAGAGCTCCGATATAATAAACGTGCCCGATCGCTGCGAAATTCAAAGTGCTACAGAGAAAACCGCGGCCGGCCGGTACCGCCGAAAACGCTACGTCCGCAATTTTTAAAAAATCCGTTGCGTAGTTTCAAAGATTTAAGCATACAAAGGGACAGACAGAGAAAGCGACTTTCCTTCTCCAAACAAAAACATCAACCGATCAACTTCAACCCACACGTACACCCATGCACACGTCTGTGCTTAGGGGGGGGAAGCTACGAAGCATCGCACAAAGAGTAGACGGCAGAGTTTACAACATCATATTAGAAACCTCAAAAATAACAGTACTTCTCCACTATTTAATGGATGTTATTATACATACAAACCTTCCTCTTGAATTACTCTATCTATTAAAAAAAACCGCATCAAAATCCGTTGCGTAGTTTCAAAGATTTAAACATACAAAAAAAAGCGACTTTACTTTATACTATGTAGTGATTGCTAATAATGCACTTCAGCGAGCCATCTCGGATTCAACTATTTAACTATAACTATGATTGAATCTCAATGCCAACTTTTATCCTATAGAAAAGGGCTGTTTATATGGTTTTCCCGGCAATTATTCGAATTTTTCTTGCCATAAAAACCATCCTTGGACTTTACCAAACATTTAAAAAAAAGAATTAGCGAAATTGGTCTATGCGTTGTTGAGTTATGCGCTTTCCAACAGATTTTGCGATTCATTTTTATATTATAGATAAATAATTGCATACATTTTGCAACAAAAAATACCTAATCAAGCTTGTAATGATTTTTATCTTAAGGCTTGGCTTAATTTATTTACGTATTTAAGTAATTCTCGCATCCTGACATCCTCGTTCTTGAAACAACAAATTATCGCCCATCCACAGCTGCCGACACACATCACACACTCAACGAACGAGTTTATTTCATATTTATTATGTCGATAAGTGATTTATAAAATTAGTTATGCTCGGCATGCCGATGCCGGCAACTCTCGTAAATCGAGAGTGAAAACATCCGCGTTCATCTTGGCGCGTTCTTGCACCGCCATCGTCGGTCGGCATCTTGTGCAACTGACAGAAGCTGGTAGCATTTTTTTATGAATGAGCTTGTTCCAGTTAACCAGTTTGTGTTTCGCGTTGAGCAAGCTTGTTACAGTTGCGTTCTTTCCTCGTTCCACCGTTTGCTAAACCAAGTGTGAAATTCCATCAACACTTCAACTTGTAGCTTGAATCTTGATGCTTGGCCTAGACATTGATATAAATTTAATATGAATAAATTTATTCGGATTATTTTTAAAACTTGCACTGTCATCAGACAATTATTAAACGAATAATTAAAAACATATTCAGAAGTTTGTACAAATTTAATAACGTTGGGTTTAGCGCAAGATGAACTGAGAAGAGAAGATGATTATTTTTTCGTCCTGGGTTACTTAAACGCAATTTAAATGCACATAAATTTCCATTTAAGTAAAAGTCCAATTACCTATATTGCACACTCTGTAAAATGTTTATGACGTCGACGTTGAGTTGAAGCATGGATCATGCCTGCATGCATAATCGATTTCAGTGGTTACAGAAAAAGGAACAACCATGGCGTATGGAGTCATAAAGAAGATTAAAACGTTTTTATTAGACTATTGGGTTGCATAGATGCATAAGGCGTACTGTAACCTTACTAATATTCTATTATGTATTACAAAACTATGTTTTATTAAATTATTTCTATACAAGTATGTTGGTGGAATTCCTTTGTTTTAATTAAAGTAAATGTAGAATTATATTGCTGGATTGTGTAACATCAATGCACATTTACACTTGGCAGGTAGCCTGAAGCATTTAGAGTTGTAATTACTTCGATTTGCGCTGAAATATGTGCGCGTCTTCGGCGCGCATTCCAAATCGAACTGTGGATAATATCAGGGACGAGCAGAGTGTAATTCGTTAATCTCATGATTCACGCTGCATGCTTGCTATGTATGTGCAATTTTAATTCAAGTTTAGAAAAAATATTTGTTTATAAAAAGTAAAAATATAACCAAATCTATAATATAAAAATGAATCGCAAAACATGTTGGTAAGCGCATAACTCAAAAATGCCTTGACCAATTTGGCCAATTCTTTTTTTTAAATGTTCGTTAATGTCCAAAAATGGTTTTTATGGCGAGAAAATTTTGAATAATTGCTGGGAAAACCCTGAAAACAATCTTTTTCTATAGGATAAAGGTTGGCATTGAGATTCAATCATAGTTATAGTTAAATAGTTGAATCCGAGATGGCGCGCTGAAGTGCATTATTAGCTATTCTTTATATAATTAATTTCCTTAAAATAAAATTGCGAATCGTACTGATAGAATTAACACATACTATGTCTAGAAGAAGAGAGTAAAAACGTATTACATTTTTATTAAACACTACCGAGACGAAGTCGCGGGCAAAATTTAGTATTATAAATGTAAATGTTTGTTTGTGACGAAATTATGTGAAAACAATTTAACTAATTTTTATCAAATTTTGTATAGAGATATTTTTAAGCATTGAAAATGAAATACACTACTTTTTGTTGCTAAAATATTACTTGAAAGGCGCAAAAGTCAACTATTAACATTTTTTATTTTTCACTTTTTATTAAAATCAATGCTGCAGAAGTAACTAGCATCAAGTACTTGAAAATATAAATCAATATCATATTTTGATTGAAAGGAAACATCCATCAAAAGTAATTCCTAGTTGATTAAATGTCTTGCTACGAACACAGTTCACCGGAGTCACGTTATGAAATTCAATCAAGATGCATCACTAAAGCGTTACAATTTACAATGTATAGTGTTCGCTACAAGAACAACGAGACCAAGAAGTAGCGCCATAATGAAATACAAGGACGCATCTTAATTTCATCCGTTTCCATACCAACTGTCTCTACAACATAAAAACTCCTAAACCAACAAAGTAAAAATACCAACGTCTTACTTCTATTACATTATTTATTCTTATTTATATTTGTGACTGTTTGCAACTGTTTGTATTGATCACTCACATTTGAATATTTAATGAATGGGAAAGGAGGATGTCACAAACGCGTGATGATACCTGCACGCGAACTTTAACGTCTCGCACGTCGACGTGAAATTAAAATATAAACGTTGAATTAACGCCAAAGTTACGAATTCGATTACGCTGGCGATTAAATGCTCTTTGAATGGATTTTTATGGTGTCCAGCGATGAATCGACGAAGTGTTAAGTGTTACTTATGGGCCGAAAACCGACACGTAACGCACGTACGTGTAAGAACCTTGTACTTTAAAATGTTTGAATTATTAGAATTAAACATACAGGTACATAAACTAGAATGCCAAAAGATGGACAGATGAGAAACAAATCAAGCGGAATGGACTTGAACTTAATAAAACGTAATTAATTATTATAATTATGCAATTGGATGCGCTGCATGATTAATTACACTTTAATTGTGTTTGCTTTATTGAAGAACGTTTAAATTATTATTTGATCTTGCCAATTATTATTGCACAATCATTTTGTACAATTTATAATATGAAAATAAATCGCAAAATTTGTTGGTAAGCGCATAACTCAACAGCTTCCAGACCAATTGGGTCAATTCATTTTTTTAAATGTTTGTTAATGTCCAAGAATGGTTTTTACGGAGAGAAAAATTTGAATAATGGCTGGTCAGCCCTTTTCAATAGGGTAAAAGTTGGCATTGAGATTCAATCATAGTTATAGTTAAATAGTTGAATCTTAGATGGCGCTCTGAAGTGCATCATTAGCAATTAAAAATATAATTAACATTTTTAAATAAAATTGCAAATCTTATTGATAGAATTGACACATACTATGTCTAGAACAAGAAAGTAAAAACAAATTACATTTTTATTAAACACTACCGGAACGAAGTCGCGGGCAAAATATAGTTATACATTAAATTTTTATTGGTCAGTGAAAACCATTGCGTTTTTCATGTATGAAGATGTAATTTTTGTTTCTCTTGGTCGATCGAGAGTGATTGGGTTCAAGTTCGCGACGCTTCACGATGATCCTCGTCGATTCTCACTTTCCTTCGGACGCTGCGCGTTGCGTAAAGGTCGGCGTGAGGCATTTCGTTAGAAAGAAGAATGCCCGCCGATGCCCGCGGATTAACCGATGATCGAGCCGATCGAAATATTGTGATACACACGCGCACACGCATTATCTAACCGCTGAATCAAACCGAAACACAATGGCGGTCCACGCGAAGAACCACGTCGGAGCCAAAGTGGGGCGGACGATATTTTCGGCGCTTTCGTTCTTCAACCCATTTTTTCGGTATAAAAGCCAAGCGAGATTTTCGATATCCTCACACATCGCCGCCAAACTTTGCCTTGCAACTCGCAAACCAAACAAAACCCACAAATTTATCAAAATGAAAGTGGTTAGTGTCAATATATTGTACAATCACATTATTGGATAATTAATTAAATAATTATAATAATTTCAGTTCGTACTTCTTGCCGCTATCGCCGCTGTCGCACTTGCCGCCCCTCAAGGAGCAGATAAGGATGCTACCATCTTGAAGAGCGAATTGGACAATATTGGAGTTGACGGATACAACTATGCGTAAGTAGGCAACCAAATATACACGCATTACATTACGAAATGTAATTTTAATTAATTTGTTAACAGTTACGAAACAAGCAATGGCATCTCCCAATCCGAACAGGGTCAGCTCATTAACGCTGGCACCGAAAACGAAGCCATCGCCGTCCGTGGTCAATACAGCTACGTCGGCCCCGATGGCGTCACTTACACTGTCACCTACATCGCTGACGAAAATGGTTTCCAACCCCAGGGCGCTCATATTCCTCAACCACCGCAATAAATCACAAAACAGTCTTCAAGACTGATCTTGTACATAAATAGCTAATAGTGAATGCTCAAATAAATTAAAAATAAATTTTTACTATTAAAAACTTTGATTATTATTTATACTCGTATTTATTCTAAATAACGTGACAACTGTTTTCATATTGTTAATAACGTGTAGGAGAAACGATGTAAGCTTTGCAACAGCAAGGACACTTTTGTGGGTAAAGTACCGCCGCTTGCGCAATTGGAATTTGTATAATTTAAACAATTTGCATAAGTGATGGCCGCAAAGAAAGTGTGCAATGCGAGAGAGTGATTGTCTGGCGTCTAGGATTGTTTTAAAAGGTGTTAATAGTGAAATTTAATTCGTAATTCTTTGTTTAAGTCTTACAAATCTTATATCACACATAATTCCTAGGTTTTTGCTATTAATTTCATCTTTTTATTACATTTTCACAAAATATACAGACAGTTATGTACAAATCATGTTTAAAAATAAGTTAAAAACTTATTTTGGAATATGGGCACCTTCCGGTTGGAAACCATTCTCATCCGCGACATAATTAACAGTATAAGTGACACCATCAGCTCCTTTGTACGAGAAAGACCCACGTACTGATAAGATTTCATTATCAGTTCCTGGATTAGCCACACTGCCTTGTTCTTGCGCTTGAATTCCATTGCTTGTTTCATATCTGAAATTCAACAAAACTTTGATATTTAATTTCTGCATGCAAATATTATTAAATATGATATTTCTTACGCCCATTTAAATCCGTCGACGCCAATGTTATCCAATTCGTTTCTTATCACCACCGCATCTTTATCGCCTTGTGGCGCGCCAAAAACCACTACCAAATATGCAACCAACACACAAATTGAGATTTTCATGTTTGTTGGTTTGTTTAAACTTTACTTTGCTTGCACAAATTGCAGATTGGTGTATGCACTAATCGGTTCTGTATTTATACTCATCTGAAGAAGTAAAAATGACAGTATCAGCTTAAAGGTGAGCACGGGTGAAGAAAATCAGCGTTAAAATCCCACTCACGCATTTGATGGTATTTTCATCAAACAACTTTCGGGTAACATTCAAGCACCTTTTAATCTTGCTTTTAATTTATGTTAAGATGACTTAATGGTTAATAGTTCAAGACTGCATCTTAGTACATTCTTCGAATATTTGCAAATAAGTAGATATCATATGTTTAAACAATATAATCATGTTTAATTTGGCTGATAAAATTTGGTCAATATATAGCTGCTTAACGTAAACGTCAGTCAGTTTATTTCACTTTGATAGTTAAACTAGAACATAATTACTACGGAGTAAATCTAATATTGTATAAAACATAAGTTAAAGCCATTAAACTCATTAATAACTTGTTTTGTTGTTTATGATAAACGGCTGTAGATTAGCAAAAATCTATAAAAGTTAAAATAACCATAAATTACTTATATTTGACTTTTATTCATAAATTCACATCGTACAATGAAGGTGGTAAGTATATTAATAAATTAAAAATAATATAAATTGTATACAAGTATTTTTAATCATTTTTAGATTATAATATTTTTTATTCTGATCGTTATGACGGTGTCGCTGCCTATTGGAATGCATGAAAAGGAATCAGAGTTAAGCCAATCATTGAGCCAACTTGCACAGTTGATTCATAATAAGATTCGTCATTTGAGACTTTTAAATGTCGAATTGGAGAGTGAAAAAGACGCCAAAAATGTCGCCGTAGATGGATGGTTGTATTACGTTGGGAAAGATAACCGCAATTATGCGATGAGCTTTGCAGCTGACGGTGATAGTTTTGCAATTGGAACTTCCAAAGCCGAAAAGTACAATAATGCATAAATTCACCCAATTTTATACCAAATTAATATTAAAAATGTTAAGTATTTTAATATACAATTATGATTATGATAATTTTACATAAATAGAAATAAAAATTCTTGTTATTAATTTTTTCCGTCAATATTAATACTTTACCATTTCTTTCTTCCATCTTCAATTTTAAGCAATTCACTGTCATCACACATTCTTCTATCATTGATGCCGCAGGATATCAGACCGCTAATTTTTGATTTACTAGTCACACAAAAAACGTGTTTCATCAACTAAAGTGGGGTACTACAACGAATAAAATACCCATCGGAGAAGTATATAAACTCGACGGATTAAGAGCTAATCATTCAGTTTTGTGATAACTGTTCAATCCCAAACACCAAAATCAAAATGAAAGTGGTTAGTAATCGAAAATTATTTACCTACCACATATTTTGATACATTCTACATTGGATTATTATTTTATTGTATTCAATTTTTGTGTAGATCTTCGTTGTTGCTGCGCTTGTCGCTGTTGCTTTGGCTGCCCCACAAGGCGCTGATAAAGACGCCACTATTCTCAGGAATGATCTGGAGAACATTGGAGTTGATGGATACAACTGGGGGTAAATAGATTTTTATATTGAATTTTGAATTATTTATGAAGATAATTAATGTAAATTGTTTGAATTTAGATATGAAACGAGCAATGGTATCAAGGCTGAAGAACAAGCAACCCTCAACAATGCTGGTACTGAAAATGAGAGCATTTCCGTTCGTGGTTCCTTCAGTTATCTTGGAGCTGATGGTGTTACCTACACTGTCAACTACATTGCTGATGAAAATGGTTTCCAGCCAGAAGGCGCTCATATTCCTAAGAACTAAATAGACTATTTTAAATAACTCAATAGGTTCCAATTAAACTCAGGATATTCCTTGTAAATATGTATAAATTGTGACAAATGTAAAAAATGAAAAGCACCCAATAAAGCAAAAATTTGAAAAATATTTTTAATGTTTTCATTATAAACACCACTTTTTTCTTATATTTTTAGTGGATTCACATTGAAAATGTCTTGAAAAAGCTTTGTTATTTGAATAATTAATTGGGTAATAAAATATTTATAGAAACAATTTAATTATACTTGAATTTTAAGCTTTGAGAATTGTGTCCTTTATTTTATTGATAATTTTGGGTAATTGTGGCGTTGTAATATTATAATGGTGTAATAATTATTGTAATTAATACTAATGTGCATTTATTGAAATAATTATATAGTGATATTTATTATATTAGCAATATTAGCAAGTGTAACTGAATAATGACTAGAATTAATGGCAACGCAAATTATATTATTATGCAAATGTTAATTAATTTTGGGTCACTTTTGTGCGACATCAGTTATATGGTGCAATTGCAGTATTTTATATATTTTGCTGTATTTGATATTTTAAGCGTGTGAAAATAATTATTTTTGGTTTAGAGCATATGTCCAACCGAACTGGAGGGTTCGGTTTTGGTCCAAAAAAAGGTTTTGTTCTACTTTTTTGCTCGGCTGAAATCAAGCAGAATCTAGGGTCAACATAGACTCTTAACCGGAAATCGATTTTCCTGAAATCATCTGGATTTCTTAGGTTTTTGCCTTATTCTAAGTTATCATGGCGTATTTTATCTATTTCACTTATTTTTAAATTTTCTAACATTGGAGATCCATCGTCTAATACTAATCTAAAAAAATGGATAAAAATGTTCAATATTCTAATACGTATTCTAATAAGTATTCTAAGTTTCGCACCAATTCATTTTCTGCCTTGGTTTTCAGTAATAAAAATAATAACTGTATAATTTTTTATGTGCTTTATTAAATATTGCTTGCTTTCAACAGATATGTAACAATTGTAATGTAAAACTATTTCCTTAATGAACACGTTTGCATATTTTATACACTATTGCAGATGTTGATGTAATAATATGTACAAGATCAATCCAACTATTTATAACACTAAATAATCCAATGGCAGAGTAGTCGTCATCTATTTTCTAATTTATCATTTACTTGGGAATATGAGCGCCTTCCGGTTGGAAACCATTTTCATCAGCTACATAGTTGACAGTGTAGGTGACACCATCAGCACCAGTGTAGGTGAAAGATCCACGGACAGAAATGCTCTCATTTTCAGAACCAGCATTGTTCAGAGTTCCTTGTTCTTCAGCTTTGATTCCGTTGCTTGTTTCGTATCTAAATATTTTTCCAGAAATAAAATATTTGTATGATTAATTTAACTATAATATAACTAACCCCCAGTTGTATCCATCAACGCCAATATTTTCCAGGTCATTCCTAAGAACGGTGGCATCTTTATCAGAGCCTTGTGGGGCAGCGAAAGCAACAGCGACAAGCGCAGCAACAACAAAGATCTACACAAATAAAATTTATATAAAATTTTTATATTAAATTCACAATAATTAAATTAGATATAGTTCAAATACTGACCACTTTCATTTTGATAGTTTTGTATGAACAGTTATCACTAAACTGAATGATTAACCAACCTGCAGTCAGTGTTTATATACGTGGGAGGATGACAAAAATTTGCCATCACTTTTTTTTTCAATCAAAACAACTTCTAGGCGCTTGATTTAAACGAAAAAGTGTCGATTACACAAAATTAATGTTTTATAATCGATGGATTGTGTTATGCACTCCAACAAAATTATTTTTAGTTTTAATTGGAGATTATGCTAGACATCATTGTTGTAATTTATTCATTTATTATTCTTATTTAAACATCGCTGGCAGCGCAATACTTTCGATAGTGCGCATCAGTGACATTTTTACACGAAGAAGAATTTTTACACGTAATACCACATCTGAATATAAATAAAAATACGTGTAAATTACAGCCAAAAAATGATTTTTGATCAATATTTGGATATCAAAATATGTTTTGGTGCTTTTAATTAAAGATAAATAATTTAAATGTAATTTTAAGTGGATATCACTGACCTAGTCTAAAAATAGCAATGCCATAATATGTCGAAAGAAATTTCCAACACTTCAGAAACCTTCATAACTTACTCTAAAATAACCAATAACTCACGCACCATAAACAGAAAGCAAAATTAAATCTTCTTCAAAATTCGACACATTTTTTTTTATATGTGACCAATCACCAAATTAGCATAATTAACATATTCACATTTGTCGTCGATATTTCGTAGTTAATAGTTCAAGTTCATCTTGTCACTTGTTTGCCGTGTGCTGACCGCGTATTAAGCTATAATCGTTAGTTTTTCGTGTGTTGAACACCATCTTCAAGTGGCGAGCACTCTTCTTTTGCATAACAACCTGTCTTTGACGCCAGCCAAGCAATGCGAAGAAGATGACACGCAAAGCAGGCGCTGGCATCCGAAACGAGTTTTCGTAAAGGTTATTATTTGTTAAACGAGAGTTAATCAGGCGGCACGAGTTGGGCACATGCCGAAAAAGTGTCATCTGTTGAATTAATAAGAATACTCAGCGGCTGTGCTGTTTGTGCATGTTTTTCGCATTGGCGCATGCACTTTTTTGGGGATAAAGTGGGGTTTGCATGGAGCAAAAAGAGTTGCAATTAACTCGTCATACAGTCACTTAGAACCCGTCTCTGTTGGGAGTATATAAACACTAATTGCAGACGAAGAGATTATTCAGTTCTGTGATAACTGTGCAATTCAACATAACAACATCCAACATGAAAGTTGTTAGTAACACAATATTACACAACTAATTTTACTAAATATTAATTTAATTAAATTTTAATGTGTAGATCTTCGTTGTTGCTGCGCTTGTCGCCGTTGCTTTGGCTGCCCCACAAGGCGCCGATAAAGATGCCACCATTGTAAGGAACGATTTGGAAAATATTGGAGTGGATGGCTACAACTGGGGGTTAGTTATACCACAATAAAATTAATTTAACAAATATTTTATTTTTGGAAAAATATTTAGATATGAAACAAGCAACGGAATCAAGGCTGAGGAACAAGGTACTCTGAACAATGCTGGTTCTGAAAATGAGAGCATTTCTGTCCGTGGATCGTTCACCTACACTGGTGCTGATGGGGTCACCTACACTGTCAACTATGTAGCTGATGAAAATGGTTTCCAACCAGAGGGCGCTCATATTCCTAAGTAAATCAATAATTAAGGATGTGTTATGACCAGAAAAACAATTTTTTGACACTTTATTATAAATTTTGTAAATATTTTTGTACCATACTGAATATTGTGATGAATGTTATCATAATAATAAAGCAATATTAATTAAAACTTTTGTTTTTATAAATATCTACTGATAATTCATAAAAAAATAATCTAATGTGGTTTTTAATCCAATATGACATGAATTTGTAATTAATTGAACGTACATTTCAAAATACCTTGAACGTTTTTTCTCCATTTTAAAGATCATCTTTTTGTTGCATATTGGTAATAAATTAATAATTAAATATCGATAAACATTTCAATTCTTTTACCTACTTACATTATGTTAATAATTTAGGTTAAACGTTTTATTGCTTTTAATTATTCTACAATTTAGTATTGAACAAAACTTTTTTTCTCACATTGAAAAAAATTAATCACGCATAATACTTAGAAGTAATCAAAAAGGATCTTCTTTAAAGATCGAATATTGTAAACAAGTTCGTAAAAGGTTAACCACCACAGGAGCAAACTGACATACCAAGCGCTTAGACGGCCGCCATCTTGTTATACTCATGGCATTTCGTGTGCGCGCGACACAAAACGCTCATTTCGAGTGTTATTAATGAGTAAACTACTAATGCTCGATAAAAAAATGTGAAGGATGCCACTGCTGGTTTTTTGTCTGTCGATATTGATATAACTACCTATTTGGTTAGAACATAAAATTATAAATGTATAAATGCGAAATCGAATTAATACAATAACTATAAACAACAAAGACGCAAGAATATTTAACGATTCTGTATCGCTGCGTGGATCATCATCTTCATCCGGGCCACGACTAATGAAATGTATTTATTCAAATACCTTTGATGTTTTATTCTCGTGCGTGGTGCAAAATTTTTGGTATATAAGCAGGTAGGACCGATTATCTAAATCAGTTCAGAACAGTCCTCCGATTGGAAACGACACACGCTTAATCACAATCATGAAATTCGTGAGTTCTTCTTAACAGTGGATAATATTACAATAGAAATTAATTTTTTAATTTTTTAATTTCTTTCTAATAAGGTTATTGTCCTCGCTGCCTTCGTGGCTGTTACTTTCGCTGCCCCCCAACAACAAGACAAAGATGCTGTTATCCTTAAGAGCGAAAGTGATAACATTGGTGTTGATGGCTACAACTACGCGTAAGATGACTTCGTAATGCACATTTTAATCATTTTACTTAATTTAATATTTTCCAGTTATGAAACCAGCAATGGAATTTCTCAATCCGAACAGGGTCAACTTGTGAATGCCGGTACTGAAAACGAAGCCATTGCCGTCCGTGGACAGTTCAGCTACTTGGGCCCAGATGGCGTCACTTACACTGTAACCTATATTGCTGACGAAAATGGTTTCCAACCTCAGGGAGCTCACATTCCCCAAGCCAACTAATTGATTACGCAATAGTTTAAATACGATTAAGTTCAACCACACTGCCATTTAGACAAATCGCTATGAAACACGGATTATGATTATGAATACAAATTTAAATCTTGATTACTAAGTAGATTAATCAGTTTATGGATTAGTCTGTTGATAAATGCAACTTGGCCTGTATCACAACCAAAATTAATTAAGTCACAATAAAAGAAACAAATGTTGTACAAATTTACCACAAATGTAAATATAAAAAAATAAACATTATTGCAATTTCAAAACAAATTTGTTACATGGTTATTAAGTTTAATTTTATAACTTAAACAGAATAAAATAATAGGTAATGTTGAAGATGATAATAAATATTATGGTTGCAGCAAGGCGTAAATAATAGTATTTAAGTTAATGGTTAAAATCCATATTGCACAAGTCGTCGCCGTTTTCTACGATCAAATTGTACGCATCGCGCGTGAATGTGACCCACGAATTTGTGCTGAATCGTAGCTGAATCGCTTGTTCTTCGCCGTCATCGCCAACGCGTGGCTGGTGGCTGGATTTCGGGCGTATGGAACACTCGATGGAAACGTGATATAACAATTATGCAATGTGCAGGCTGTGAGTGAGCGCAATGGCACAGACGACCGCAAAGATGACACCGATTCACCTTGCGTGTGCGACGCCTCAATAGACTGTGCCAAATTAATTTTCGATAAGTCACTTTTATTTGTATTTGGTAGCTCTGTGAGATGCTTCTATGAAATAAGGATTTTTAGTTTAGTTCATGTTATTCGGAACTGTGTAGTGATAACTTATTGTTTTTTGTCACAAAACTAAAATATATGTTGGAAAATAAAGAAGAATTAAAAAAATTGCGGTATTAGGTAATTGTCATTACTAGTTTCCTACCTTTTTCCCGGAACTTCGTACTAACAAAGCAAAGTACCGATATCTATTTAGAAGTAAAATTAAATGTGTTGTGAACAGGAAGTAGGAAAGCATAATTATAAAGACATAATTTCGGAATATCCTATAATTAAATAATAAACCATACTTAATTGTACGAAATCTCATTATTTTGCATTTGTCACGATGAGAAATTGCCAGAAAAGCAAGAAACATTTGCACAGACGTTCAACTCTCTAATCCCTTTACACTATACTCGTATATATCCTCTAAATTCTTTAAACCTATAGGAAATGCTTGAAATTATATGGACATAAATAATTGCAATTTATTTTTCTAAACTACTGAAAACTGAAAACTGGAATGTTGGTGTGGAAATCATCCTGCAAAATTTTTTTTGGAACTTTATCATTTCTATCTTCAATTTGATGTATCATTTATAAAGGAACTTGTTAAAAATTGATTTAAAATGTCACCTGCTTTTATTAAATTACCACTAGTCACTGCAGGTTTTGTGTAGTAAATAATAATACAACTACCTATACAACATAAAAATGTTTCATTTGATTATTCGTTGGGGAAGGTCAACTATACTCGTAGTTGCACGTTCAAATAAACTTATCTTGTTTGGTGCGTGTATCTTGTTTCTTTCTGTTGCAGCGAATCGACGTGTGATGAAAAATTTTGTGAAAGTACATTGCAGCGACATCTTTGGGATGATTATAAACCATAGATATGTATAAGTGATTTTAAAACCATGTTTAAATAAAATATTGATCTGAAAAAGTCTGAATACGCGTTCACTAAATTATCACGCAACTTGTGTAAGAAGTATCAAGCAAATATTTGTTATTAAAGTTGTGTGGCTTTTTGAATAGTATCCTTTACTCTGAGATGGCGCGACGATGTACTTTTAAACAATTTATATTCCTGTAATGTAATAAGACTGTTGCTACAATGTTCCTCAAATATTTATACTCTCAAGTGTGATGTTGCTTGTTTACATCATTTTTTTTTACTTTTGCAGTTGTAAACAGTTCTTGTTATTGTTTTACTATCTTTATATTATGTTATTATATTTTTATAATCGCATTATCTTAGATTAACATATATTGCATCCATGTCGTCCTCTCATTACAACTCCACTAATGATTATATAATTCTTATACAGAAAACTATAAAGAAGTTAATACTTATTTACAATTTACAGATTTCTCTACAAGAAGCGGAATCATTGAGTTAGAGTTCTTCGTTTTTAATAAAGTTGCGTTAGAATTACACATGAGAATATATTAAATTATAAGATTCTATTTTATCAATAAATAAATGCATGTTATTGATAAAAAATAAATAAAATGTTAATTTTATCGAAGCACAGTTTTTCCCATTTTAATTCCTATTCTAATTAAACTTTATTTCATACTCATACTTACTTTTTAAATCGCTTCTTCGGGCTTTTTGACAATTTTGGAATCTGTATACTACTAAATTTTAATAACTATGGTCATTATTTGTCTGCAGTAATCACTTACAAAAGGTCTGCTCGCATGAACTTTGCATAACTAGTTATGGAATTCCCAAAGCCCTAAAGGCGAATGACTTAAAATTCAGAAGCAGACGTTACATTGACCTTTGAATCCAAAAATATCTCGGGGGTTTATCGGTGAAACAATTTTGTACCTGCCTCGCATTCTTATTATTAATATTATCACTAATATTAACTAAATACACACCTTATGTTGATAAATTACGATTTGATATACAAACGGCCTTGTTTAATTGATTTTACCATTGAAAATATACTTATTTAGATACAGTTGAAACAAAACGAATGGATTAGTAAGACTAAAAAAAGCATAAGAAGAATTGATCTTCTCTAAGCGCTAAAACTTTATACTGTTGCATATATTATCATAAACCGAAGAATTTATGCTTGACATCTAATCAATTAAAGATTGTTTTGCTTGAACAAATTCAATTTGCATTGAACGCAGACATTGATTACACACTTATTGTAATCAAATATAAATACTTAGTAATTTAATTAACTGTTAGCATATGTAATGATTATAACATTTAAATACACAATTCTTTAATTATATCAAGAACTACATATAATTAAATGAAATAAATTACCCAATTCATAATTCAAAATTTATTACAAATAGATATAAGGAAAAAATACCACGTGCATTAACACGTTGTATAATTTATTGTTAACTTTCTTCATATTTGACACTAAAAACTGGTTAAATTTAATTATAATTTACATATAAATCACAAAAAAGTAATGAGTCGACAAAATCAGGTTTACGCTGCAGCAGATGTTCACGTGCATATTTTTTAATTCTATAAATCAAAACAATGCCTGATAAAATCAGTACACAAAGAACAAATTCATTGATGACCTTACATCTTACGATTTTCAATCAGGGCCATCACAAGTAAAAAAAAATCAATTATTTACATATTTGTTTATTATTACCGCATGATTGCTCGTGCGTGCGCACCTATCCGTTTCCTATACAACAAGATGCTGATATGTTTATATTAACGATTAGCAGTAATAAACAATTAAATAGAAAAAGTCGCTTCCACTCGCTGGAATGAAGGATTGGCATCAATGCAATAAAGACCTTTTACTTCAATACGGATATTGGATGAGCAACAAGCAAAATAGCTTCGAGGTATTAATATCTACTATTTTTAAAGTTTAACGTTCGATTTTCATTTCATTGAAGGCGTTTATATTTTGCGCTCATTTAAAAATGGTCTTCAAATTAATTTATGAAATATGTTGAAAACAATAAATCAGTAGTATGACATTCAAAATTTTTTCATTTGCATAAAATAATAATTTTGTAATATACACATTGTTCAATCTGCAGTAATCACAATATAAACATAAAACACTAAAATTTTTGTTTATATTTGACAATATGGTATGATTAAATTTAAAAAAACAACAGAAGAATTAAAAACACATTTGTCGTCATGTCCTTTACTTTAAATAAATTTAACAGATTTCAATTTATTTTTGAAAAACAATGAAATTTTGTTTTACAACATATCCTAAAGCAAAAATAATTTACATATTAACATTTCAGTTAATTAATTACCTAGAGATCGCGTTGAGTTAATATTAAATGTTCAGTAGTGTTTTTTGGTGTTTTACTGACAGCTTCTGTGATTCTTGACTATCGAATTACTGCTTTTTTATTTCTGTCTTCTTTTCAATAGTAAATGATACTTCCGTTTATAAATCCTTAACGCGCGAAGCGGATATTATTGAAATGGAGACGTGTCAGTAATTAAACTTTTATTGCGTGATTTTATGATATTTTCTTTAAGAATGTTCAATAATAATCACGCCAGGTATTATTTGACGATGACGACATGTTTAAATGTGTTTATTGTTCACATAATATATATCACGTTCTTATTCTAAGGGAAAAACCGCTTTATATTATTTTTAACAATACGAATGATAATTAATAAGAATTGATTGCAATTTTGTCGCCATCTAGTTACGATGTTATAAACTACACAAAAGTATTAATATCAGTTATTTAATTAACTTTTAAAGAAAAATTAAAAGAGTTATTATTAAATAATTAAATAAAAGATAATTGCATGTAATGAGTTAAAATGTATCATAAATATCATCATGGCATTTATATGAAATGCAATAAAACGCAGTAAGTTCACTTATTAAAATATAATTTTAATTTTGACTTTTACTTTGCCACTACATCGAAAAATCATTAATCAAAAACGCAGCACAGCACCGAAAGATGACCTTAATCTTGATCGTTTAGCGAATAAAAACATCTAGCAACATGACAACACGCCAAGAGAATCTCAATGCAAGAGCAAGTCATTTTTTCGAGGTGCGGAAAGACGCATCTCAAAAGTTCTTTTTTTCCTGTTTGGTTTTCAGCAACTGCGATGCGCGTGTGTCGTAGCGGGAGATTCGCGCTTAAGATGGTCAAGGAAACTATAAAATCCGCCAGTTCTGGAACGGCGACGATTTGAGACGCGTCTTTGTTCATCTGAAAAGAACACCAAATATATATTAACATATAAAGTGCCATATTTAATAAGATTTGGATTGAAAAGTGCAATCAACAATGAGAAACAGGGTAAATATTTTGAATTTTTTTTCTTTACTTTTAACTTTTAAAAATTTAATTTTAAAAATAAATTACAATTAAATAGTTACAGTTTAAACAATTTCCGCATTTTTAACCAAAAATCTGTTACTATAAGATCTGTAACCTTGACTTCAACTGGTTGACATCTAATTATCAAATAATTAATGAAACAAAAACCCAAAAAACCACGCAATCCCAACGTGAATCACCTAAAAATGCAAATTTGACCAAAAATTTGAATACGAACTATACTGGTTTTAAAAGAATCTCATCCAACTATAATTTACCGTTTTTATTCCTACATTTTGCATTTTAAATCTTCAACAATATTCCATTAAGTTTATATCAACGTGATAATTGTCCTCAATATTATATTCACGTTGTTTGTTCATTGCAACACGAATAATTAAGTGTTAAACAATATGGGCAATAAAATAATACAATTGTTTATTTTTGAAGTTCGCAATATTGGTGGCTGTTTGCTGTGTGCTGGTGGCTGTAGAAGCGAGAAGCAAATATGTGACCGCTGAGGAGGATAACCCATACGAATTTGGTTTTACAATCGACGGGCAGCAACATCGCCACGAAAAGAAAGGTACGTTTAAGTTTAAACACATCTTCTTCGCACCTGTGGACGTCCTTGCAAAAAATAACGTATTAATAAACGAAGAACTTGTCGTATGTCATCTTGTCACTGCGGTGCTTCCTTGTTTGTAACATTATATTTTTTCAATGTGTGTTTACATATTTATAAACTGTTAATATAGAATATTATGTGTAATAATTTACGTAGGAGTTATTGAAAATATCATATTGCGTTTTTCTTTATATCACAGATGCGAACGGAGTGATTCAAGGAGAGTTTGGGTTCATCACTGCCGATGGCGTCTATCACGTCACCGTTTATGCCACTGATGAGAACGGGAACTTTAGGATTTTAAGCATGAAGAATATCAGATTAAGCGGGCGTAAGATATTTGAGAAAAAAACAACAAGTTTTGTTGATTTTGTTGATTATTACGATTGATTTCTAGCTTTGGATGAACCCAATGCAAAACTACCAGATACTACAGGATTATCTAAGGGTCAAGCTAACCCAGCGCCGAATCCGCTTAGTATTAATACAACACCAGCGCCTGCGCAGACTGTTCAAGCAGTGACTCAGAGTAACCGTTTCACGACGCAGTCTACAATCAAACCCGCATGCGCTGGATGCGGTTATGTCACTCATGCGACACCTTTGAAGAAACCCGATAGTTCCTTACCATTCCAGACTCAAGCGGGACAGAATCCTAGACCACAGGATGTTATAATTGGAAAGAAACCTGATGTTCAACAACAGAGTCAAGGTCAAAGCGGTGTTCGGCCGGATGTTTCTTCAAGTAGTGGTTTTAATGTTCCACCAGAATCTAATGCTCCTTTTGTTTCTGATCCTGTAGGTGGAAGACCAAGTTTCCCTGGTTCAGGTAGTCCAGGTCCAAATGCAGTAGGTCAATTTAATCCCCAGAATGATTATCCAGTTAATCCTAATCAGAACCAATATACTGACAACAATCAACAGAATTATCCAGGTAATAAAGAACACATTCCTCCACAAGTTGAAATAAATGGTACACCAGATTATGCAACACCTGATGGTATACCATCACAACCACAACAACCACAACAACCACAGACTATACCTATACCACAGCATACCCAAGGTCAACAAAATTCAGACACAGCTATAACATCACCACCACTTGTACACCCACAACCACAACAACAACCGATACATAATCAAGAACCACCACCAATAAACCAAAACACAGCAACACCACAATTACAAACCCCAGATTCTCAATCTCCTCAAATTACAGGTGATAACAATTATCAACAACCACAAGCAGACCCACTTTTGAACCCACTTTCAATCAATAATCCACCCAATCATTTGAATCAACCATCGGCACCACCACAATCCGACAGTGGTATAACAGTATCCAATGGAGTGATCAACGTGCCAAACAACCCACCAATTCCAATTCAAGACAAGTATCCCAACATGGTTGATGGTTTACCAGCTGGTATCAAAGAGGGTGATATCACCGATTTACTATATCGGTTTAACTACACTGTTGGTTTCCATGGGCACTACGAGAAAGGATACAAGAACGGTGCTAAAGTAGGAGGGTACTTCGTCAATGACAGAGATGGTGTAAGCAGGATCGTGACCTACGTAGCTGATGAAAACGGATACAGACCAAAGGTTAAATTTATCCGATTAGATCTAACCTCGGATTTGGTACCGAAGGAAGGTACAGAAAAGACCTTTGGACTGAAGAACTTTGAGTTTGTGTGGTATCCGCTGAATTAACGTAGGATTAGTAATTTATTATTTGCCTAGCATTAACAAACAAATATATATTCTTAAATCAAAAATTTAAAAATCAATATTTATTGGCGTGTTCTTTATAAACATAAAATGACTTAGCAGGTACCTTTTGCTATTGGACCAATCGGTCAAATGGAAAGTTCATCAAGTTATCATTAAAGATTTTAGTGAATGCTGTCCCAACTAAATCACCAATTATGGGTCTTAGGAGCATAAATCCTGGCGGCCATGCAGAATTTATCATTCTGTCAGCTATATTTTCTAAAATAAAAAATTAAGAAAAAAATTAGTTTGATATGCTTTCATTATTTGTTTCTTTAATTTTATGCCTACCTAGTAATGGCCGTCCTCCTAATAAGTTTGACACATGCATTTCCAAATGTCGACAGAATTGCACATTAACGTCGACTTTCATGGGCGTATCATAAACCATATTTCCAAATTGAGTCATTCTTGGATTTCGAGTAACTTTCATTGTTTGCGTATAGTCGTTCAGAAGCAAATCCCATGATCCACTGTTATTGATCCTCCTTCCGAAAATACTTGCTTCGAATTCATATTCGCCATTTAATCGCTTTTCCGGGAAGAATTGCGTGAATTGCATTTCGTTTTTATTGAAATTGGTTCTAACAAAAAAAACAAAGCAATCTTTAATTCCTTTTTCATTTAACGACATCTTTTATTAAGAGTCACGACAAATGCCATGACAAAATGCAATAATTACTATTTTATTACCATATTTAGTATTTAGTATTTAATGACGTGTGTCTCTGCTTTTGTTTGTATTAACACAAAGATAGCTTTGTTTGAACATCCTTATGATTTTACTTTTGTTTTTGTTTAATTTTTACTTCATTTACCTTAATCTAGTGATTTCCGACGCAGTCCATCCAGCTTCCGTAACATTTCGCAGAACCAGACGATAACTGAATGTAGGCCCACCTCTGACTTGTACCACTTCCTCAGCGTGGAAGGGGTCGAAAGGTCGGACGCCATATTGAGGTAATCCGGTTTTGAAATATGGACGCACCGAGTTTATCGCATCTTTCAGGCAGTTATCAAAACGGGGATCTGATCGACGGCAATTGGCAAAATGATCAACTAAATAAAAATAAAAATTAATGATTTTTAAATACATTGCAATCCATTCTAGATTATGCTGATAGTATACGAGTATAATTAACTTTCGATAGTGTGTGGTTAGGAAACAAGTGATTGCAGTATGTTACCATGTACTTACGCATTTGTTACACATTTTACAACTATAGGCGTTTGCCGGAATAAATTTAAATAAACGCGGAAGAGGAAAATTTGCGTACCGGCAAGATTTCTATTCAGAGCAATTAAATTTATAAAACAGGAAGTTTTTACATACATTCAACAAGTTTAAAACATTACTTACATAAAAATAGTACTTAACCTCAAATTAAATCACATTTTGAAAAAATCACAAAGGCAACGCTGCAAAAAATGTAAATGACTGTTCGGTCACTCAAGGAATAATTGATATTTGATAATTCTACCCTTTTGTTGCCTAAACACGAAAATGTCACAATTATAATTTTGATGAATGCACCATTAAATGCACAATATATGAACGAGTAAATATGTCACATAACATGCAACTATTACGAAATCTCTAAAAGAAAGCCGTAAATTTTCGCTTCTCTACACACACCTTGTACCTACTCTTATTGATTGCCAACTTCTAGCAAAGCAAACACTAACAATATTATCTAACACTTTATACTTAATTATTTTAAACAACAAATTCAATTTATAAAATAAAAAAGAACTCTGGGCACTACTTACCAAATCGAATCTGTGTTTGAACGCCGATGGCACATGTGAGTAACACGATGGTCACGTGGGACACTGTCTTCACCATTTTAACACAGCACGTTTGACTTCTTAAACAGTTTTTCTTGCAATTGCAATCTGCAACTTGACTTCACTTATGTTGCGCTACCGTTTGTCCGGTCAGCTTCACAGTAAGCGTGCGTTTATTTCAACTTTTCCAGCACATATTGGAGACACAAAGATCGCGCACAAAGGCTTGACTGATTAGTTTAAAGACAGGCGCGAGGCCGCGAGGTGGTGCGTTTGTGACGATTACACTTGAATTAAACAAGCGCACGCGAAATCAAATGATTTCCCACCTTTTACCAGGGTCCGAAGAAGTGAACCGACCAACTGCACAACGCATTCAACACTCAACATTGCAAATCATAAGATTATTATAATTGTGTAACAGATATTACTTTATATACCATTGTCTCTAATTGTTTATAAAAAATAAAAAAGTTAAAAAACATTTTTGACTTTTTTTTTATTTTAGTTTCCTTTATAATTGCAAAATATATTGTGAAAAGTTTTCATCACAAGCAATGGTTTTTTAATCATTAGTGGCATTAGCTCCTCTCACTTGTAGTGTTTTGCGACGTTACTACATCTGCATTGCATTTTTCAATTTACCGCTGATATAATCCAAGAATTACGTTCGCAATGTTGTTTGCTTTTATCTAGCTTTTAGCGTTTTAGTATGCGGAGTACTCGTGCGTCCACCACTTACCACCTTCCAGGCTTCAATTGCAAATATCACTTTCTCTGCTAGTATTTTTACCAAATACTAACTGGATATTTAAATACGAGGTTCCACTTCATTGGTCAACATATTCAATAGATGTCAAAGTCAGTTCGAAACCAAACAAAGCAAAACAACTAGAACATTTTGCTGAACAAATTCATACTAACTTTTAAATTTTTACAAGAAATTAAGTTATTATATGCACAAAATTGCATAAGTAACTTTTCATACCTTTCAACTATAAATTTTTGAAACTAGTTTAATTTTTGTTGGTTTAAATGACATGTTATAAATTATTTTCAAAAGCTACCGCTGCAATTTGCATGTTTATGTCTTCCAGTTTAGCTCCTTCTTTCTTTCCTTTTGAATAATGAAAGCGAAAGATATTGTAGATTGCATTTCTCTGATCAGGAGCGGAAGTGCAATGTTTTGCCCGATTTATTGACCATAACCGCATGAGCATGACTATGCCTAGAACTGGTTCTTTTATTAATTTATTTCTGCAATACAGCCGCGAAATATAACATTAATGATATGTTTATAATGTACGAGTAGCGTACGTACACATTAAGCATTAAAGCAATATGTAACATTAGAAAATTTCATTCTTTCTAGCAGATTATAAATTAACCACGATTATGTATGCTGGTTAATAAATTATTAACATGAAAATTATGCTCAAATTGTTTCTTCCTGTCTATTATATTAATATAATTGATAGGAATTTGTAATAATAAAAAATAAATGCAGATGCGTCAAAAATATTTAATTATTTATTGCTTTGTCAGTATAGGACAAAATTGCAGATATATACGCAAAAGTCGTTATGGTAAATTGCATTTTGTACTTATTAAAAATGCTTAAAAGTTGTCCTCGCTTCAATAGCGTTGTGTGTCATCGCATCACCTCTTACAATTGCAAACATTCTATTTTAAAATATAATTATCATTAAGTTTCAAGATTTTCCATCTTAAATGCCAATGCATTACTAATTGAAAACCGCTTTTATATTAATATATATTGTTATAAGTTAGTAATATTTAAGTGAACTAGATTAAAAAAGAATTAGATGTACTTATTATATTTATTAAATTAAATTACATCTTATGTACGTCTAGACATTTATATTAAATGGTATTGGTACTTTAACTGACAATCTGTTCCAAGACAGTGAGTTTCATACGCACGCGTTTATGCAATATGAAATTAATGTTAGTTAAGTCAACTTTAACGAGGTAACGACTTATGGAGGAGAAACTTTAGACTTAACGTATGCAACTAAATATACACAAAGTTTATGAACCATATGAAACAGAGAAATAGTAACATTAATAATTTGATTCTGTTTTAAATTTTGGTCGATTTCTTTGCTTCTTTCTCCAAAACCTTTTTTGTTAGGCAGAATGGTATCAATTTTATTGTTTGTATGTAGGCCCAGACTGGAATCAGATTTAAATCCATTTAAGCGTCTGTTACGATGATTTTGATGGAGAAAACGTGCCTAAAAATAATTAGAATGCAATATTAATGTTTGGTTACTATCTAAACCAATGGACAGACCATATTAGGCAGGAATTTCCAACAATACTAATTATTCTATTAGTAAAGTATCTATAATTTTACCAACTGCTTTTATATATAGCCAAAAACAATAAATAAATTTTCCAACAAAGAAAAACCAGACAATTCACACTAATATACAAATGTCTTAAAGAAGAAGCATTTACATTAAATATTAAAACATAAACAATTGTTCAAAACAAAAGACTTGCACCTCACGTAGTGTGCAATAAAAAAATGTGCCGCATTAATTAGACGCACGGGTTTGCACAATTGCATTGATTACTAGTACCTTTCAATCATGTCGATTGTATAACGCGCAATTGCGGATGCATTATTACCCACTGACCGATGGTAATCACATCAATATAAAGCACATCGAATGTTTATTTATTTATCATATTCACATTTCACAGTTAATACAACCGCATTAATGCAGGTTAATTACATTATTTTTATATTAATTGATTAAGATTAATGCAGAAGTAAAATAACACAATTACATAAACAGCATAAACCGTCTCTAAACTTCGAATTTTCACATTCATGACACAAAAACTTAAAAAAGACTAAAAATAAAATTTTATAGTATAATAAGTTGCCTACCATGAACATCTATATAATGTACAGTAAATTTGAATAGCATAGAAACTAAAAACTTAATAACTCAATAACTCAAAACTTTACAAAATAGTTTTTACAATTATTGATGCAATAATTTTTAATTATATTTCATCATACTTAAATTGCCTTAACACCAAAATTAATTCTAATCAATTCAAAACCAATTTGCAACGATAATTACCAAATTTTTAGCTGCATTACACACACTTACAGATCCTACTATAAAATAATTCGATTCCCAAAAACATTATTTAATTCAACGTCTGTCTTTGCAGGTGGCGGTGCAAAAGCCACATGCAAAGAGTATAAGAGTGTAATTATACAACTAACAACTAACAACTAACGACATATTACGAGTGCGTGAACAGACAACCATATAACAGATTCAAGAGCCGCCAATCGAGACTCCACTCGAGACGCAAGAAGTTAACTAGAGTCTCTTTGAGTGCGCTCGCTGCTTGGCTTCTTGATATGCAGACGCACGTCGAGCGATTATTATAGAAAGGAAAGTGGATGCCCGCCCTGCTTCATTTGATTTACACACATCACGAGGTGAACATCGCCGATAATAATCCGATTACATAAATCAGATAAAAACAAAAACTCCAGCAGCAAAAATCAATTTATCCACTTCTAATCAACACAAATAAATAACAGTGATGTTTGTGCCAATGTGGATTGCGATTATCGCTAGTGTTTTGGTGGTTGTTCAAGGAAAAGTTTGGGAAACGATACGTAAGTTATATTTTTACATATTTACATGCATTTTATGATGTAAAATTATTATGCGAATGTAGTTATACAATAACATCTCGTAGATTTGGATTGTTGTTGATTTAAATAATTATTGAAGTTAATAATTAATAAAAGTAGGTAACTAGTTGCGTGCGTGTGTTGCTCGCTATCGTTATATCATTGAAACGTAAACTGCACTGCTATTTTGCAATTTTTTTCTTTTTTTGCAAGCATACAGTGTGAAACAATCTGATTATCATATTATTTTAATATTTTTCTTATACACACATGAATTATTCATTTTTATTCAATTGTAATTATATTATATTTTTATGTTTATTGCCAGATGAAATAATCTATTGTATTCGATGTGATTTGTATTAATGTGGTTGCAGTTTATGTGTACTTTCACTTTCTTTTGAATTTGTCACGTGGGGCGAACGCATCGAAGAAAAAGCACACGTTGCGTTGGTTGCCTGAAAGGAAAGTGATAGTGATAGTAAAACGTCTTAGGCGCTAAATTGTGTGAGCTTGTGGATTCAAGTCAAGAAGAGTTTGAAGGAAAAAAATCAACTTTCCTCGGAATGTATTCATGCCGTCACGCTTTTTGCAGTCTCTAGACGACTATTTGCACTTCCAATGAACGCTGGAAGCAAAAGCAACATTACAAATTGGACAAACATCTTTTATAATCATTATGTGATCGGTTGTAATAGCATGTGTTGCAATGTACAAGAAAAATTGAATGTTTGTACATCAAAAATGATTAAAATTATGGTTTTTTTGATTTAAAAAATTAATAAAAGTATAAAATTCATTGCCATGGTCACGCTAGAAGAAGTATACTAAAAGTTAATAATATTTTTTGTTATTTTCAAAGAAAATTTAGTGTTTTACATGATTTTTTATTGTTAAAAATTGTTTTCTTGTTTAAAATTCATAAATTAATTAATTGAAGCCTATTTGTGTGATATAAAACGTTTAAACATATAAAATTGCAAAATACGTTTACTAAAGTATATTTAGAGGTTAGTTAAATATCAAAGATGGCGTTTTTCTTATTTTTTGATCAAAAATAACGATAAATTGCTGTAATATAACTTAATCGATTCATAAATTCATAATTAAATATACGTGTACATTTCCACTGCAGCAATTACGAGTTTGCATAGGTAAAATGCGTTCTGTATGATGGTATTACACGAGGTTAATAACTTAAGCACTGCGAATAAGGCGCACCGAACGCCGGTTATGTAACGCGCCATCGCGCCAAAGTTAACGGAAAGATTCAATCAGGAAAGTGGGGCATTTACTGGCGCGCCAAGGTTCGTTTTTTCTTCTCTTTGCGGATCGCCAAGTAACGCTCTGTTTGCGCGCCGAATGCAAATGTTGACGATATTGTGGGATTGCACATCGCCTTCGAGGGTCATTGGTCAATTAACAAGTCTCATTACATTACATTACATTACAATTCATTGCAATTGAAAATGCGTACATTGCAAAATTTATTTGAGGTTCAATTAAATTACACCTGAAGGAATATGTGTACTCATAAGAATTTATTGTTTTATTTGATTTTAGCGTATGTTGCATTCATAGATCTAAAGCAAAAGGCAACATATTGGTAATAATTGTTTGATGTTAGGCAACCATATATACATTACAGTAACGCTGCAAGGCTATGATTTATTAACACAGCTAATATTAACATTATACATGGAACATTTGGTTTATTTCAAAATAAACTATGAAACATTACTGTGATTTCTTACAAATCGTTATTTTGTTCCACATTCAATTTAACGCAATCAAATAATTATACTTTTAGCACCATATGTAAAGCAGTGTCATGAAGGCGATCCAGAACTAATCAAATGTTTTATTGGATCCCTGCAACATTTACAACCTTATTTGGCGACGGGAATCAAAGAAATTGAATTGCCACCAGTGGAACCATTCCGTATGGATGAATTGTCACTTTCCCTGACGTCAGGACCCAATGGATATCGTGTTACTTTAGCTGATATTGATGTTTATGGTGCGAGTAATTTCACCGTGACTAAAATGAAGTATGATATTAATATTTATGATTTTTTTTAAATTTAAAATACTTACAAGGTAATTTTGTTTTAATTTGAGATTGAGTGAAAATGGAAAACCATTTGAAGCAAGGATTAAAATGCCTGAATTACGTATGACATCGAAATACAGAAGCAGTGGAGTTTTGTTGATTATCCCAGCAAGTGGAAATGGCACTTTTCATGGCAAATTTCGTAAGGAAATATTTTCTTAAATTCACTCGTACTTGTAAATGAGTATCAAATATGCAAGATACAAGACCTTATTTTAAGGTCTTGTGTTTAATATGCAGTGTGGTATAAGATCGTTTACATGTTGATTTTTAGAGGATGTGACAGCCATAGTAAAAGGAATTGTGAGCGTGTCCCAAAAGGAGGGTCAGAATTACATGCACGTTGACACGCTTCAAGTGGACATCGACATTAAGCATGTGCGCATGGCCGTTAAAGATATCTATAGAAACAATCGAATTATTGGTATGTTTTCATTCGTCATCTCATTATATTATTTTAATCACTTGGTTTACATACTAAATACTATTCCTGTGCTGTTTTTATATTATTACTGCGAATGTAGGTTAAAAATAAGTTTTTATTGATTTTAGGTGAAGCAATGAATTTGTTCCTAAGAGAAAACGGCCAAGAAGTAGTAAAAGCAATGCTGCCTCAATTGAAACGCAAATTATCAAATTTGTTCCAAAGTATTGCAAATCAATTGTTGTCTAATTTGCCAGTGGACGTGTTTTATGTGCCTAAAAAGCAATAAAATAACGAAGCAACTCGCAATTTACAATTTAATCTGAATTAATTGTATACATCTCATTTTCGTAACGTTTAAGAAACATTTATATTTAAGTCATGTCAACAACACATTAAATTAATTGTTTATAAAATAATTAAACGTATATCTACATTAAAGTTTATAACTTGTATTATTTAAGTAAAAAATAATTTGTATAATTCAAAAATTATAGAAATTTAAAGATATTATTTTGATTTTATTTGATAATAGCTTTTGCCCGCGACTTCGTCCCGATATTATTTAATACAAATGTAATTCGTTTTTACTCTATTGTTCAGAACATAATATGTATCAATTCTATCAATAAAAATCGCAATTTTATTTTAAAGAAATTATCCGCCAAATAATCCGCCAACTCGGATTTTACTATTTAACTATAACTATGATTGAATCTCAATGCCAACTTTTATCTTATAGAAAAGAGCTGTCTTTAGGGTTTTCCCGCCAATTATTCAAATTTTTCTCGCCGTAAAAACCATCCTTGGACTTTAACAAACATTAAAAAAAAATAATTGATCAAATTGGTCTAGGCATTGTTGAGTTATGCGCTTACCAACAAATTTTGCGATTCATTTTTATATTATAGATATCATAACTAACAACCTAACATGAACAGTAATTCTATTTCGATTCATTTTTATTCTATTTTTTTATTAATGGAGAAAACAGCAAAGCGCAAGGCGTAACTAATAGCCAATTAGCTATATAATTACAAACATAATCATGAATGCTGCCATTCAGTTGCACTTTGAGTTTGTCGATATTCCAACAAATTTAATTTGCGTGCGAGAAATTTGCATGCTTTTATGATGCATTTGCGTTACAATAATTTGATAGTAAATTAATTGGCAGTTTGTTCCAGAAATCGAGAAAAATGTGTTTTGATGAATGTTGAGAAATGCAAAAAAGTACACATGGCACATGTGTCTCATTACTATAATTTAAACAAACTAGAGAATTTAATAACAATTTTTCACTACAAATGACGGGGAAAATCAATTGTTTACGTAAAACTTATTTATATATGTTTACATTCAAGATTATAAAAGCGTAAATAAAGTTTTCGTGGAAGTCAAAAAGCTTTTGTTAAAATTTTATAAACAAGGTTATCTTTCCAGCAATCCATACATCAAGCAATGTTTAAATTTTGAGTCATTTAATGCTTTCTTAGAATTAAAAAAAGATTTGAGATTATTTTGTTTGTTGGTTGTTGGCGTTGACTTTGAATGATGTCATTAACATTTTACATTTTGTTTTCACACTACAATAAATGCTTTACAAGAAGATTGTAAAAGCATAAAACACGATTAATATATTTTCATGAATGTTTAAATTGTTGTGGTTTGTAATTATTGTGGTAATTACAATCCAAGTTTTCTTTTTTTATGTAGTTCATTGTGTGCAGGCAATTTTTACACTTTCTTCTTTAGTGATAGTCACTGTTGCCAAGTTTATGACTATTATTAATACTTGACAACATAACCACAATATTTATTTAGGTTATATCTTACAGAACAAAACGGCAACACTGTTAATATTCGTCAAGCGCTGTTTCTTGTAGTTTTTCGGTATTTTTTACCCAAAAAACTTAAATCTAACAATGAATGTATTAGATCTTTTACTTTTCCCCACTTTACCTGAAGATTCATAGCAAAAGAGCACAAAAGAAGCGAGCATTGAATGAATACTCCGCGTACTTGACGAGCAGCCGAACGACAAAGTCACGGCCAAGCGTGTAAGAGGTCAGTTGGCAAAGAAGCGCGTCCATCGCGTCAAAGAACTAGAGCCCACAACGGAACTCTTCGGCTCGGCAGGTTGTCGTCGCGCCAACCTACTCGCACACCTTCGCTGCTCCAGAAGACGAGTTCTCAACGTGTACGATAGTGTCTGCGCTTTTTATTTAAGGACGCACTGCGTCGACGAATTCCAGCCACTCAGTCAGTGTCGGTCGACAATTACCAACGGCCGCATCCACCAAAACTATATCAAAATGTTCAAAATTTCATTTTTTATCCTCCTAAGTGCATTCTGCGGTGATACACTTGCGAGAAATGGAAGAAATCGTAAGTTTTCTACTATTTATCAATAAAATTAAAGCAAATCAGTTGAAGAATGACGAGTGGTCAAGTTAAAATCAAGTACCGTTAGGTGCGAGACCTGTTTTTAACCGTATGGCTTTCGTTAGCATTAAATCACGTTTCAATGAATTGTAACACATCAATAAAACATTTCTAAATAATTATTTACAGCTTATTATTATCTGCAACAATGCAGTCGATCCGATCCGGATGTAAACGATTGTTTGGTCAATTCAGCAAATAATCTCATGCATTATATTCGATCCAGAGGAATTCCTGAGTTGGGAATTGAGAAACCAGAACCAATTCTTATTGATGAGATTGGGATTGCTTTGGGAAGTGGACCAGATGGATACAGAGCGAAATTTAGACAAATTAATGCTTTTGGTGTGAGCAATTTGACTATGACAGCAGTGAGGTAAATAAAAATTTAGTTTTTTTTTTTAATTCAGAAAAAGTAATTAAATTAAGTCACGTACATTGTTATTCACAAGTTATGTGTTGTTATGTGAACAATGTGGTTGTTGACATTGATTTGCATATTTTAGGCGCAGTTTTTACGCATTACTTGAATATTTAATTTTCATTGCAGATCTGACGTAGACACTCATCAATTCCAGTTTACTTTTTACATTCCACACATTTCCGCGCGGGCTCTGTATGAATCCAGTGGTGTTTTAATTTTGGTTAAAGCATCCGGTGGAGGAAATTACTGGGGAGAATATGGTAAAATAAAAAAAATAAAAAAATATTATTTTACTAAAATTCTTGATTTTAGAGGGTGTAAAAGCTAAAATTTACTTGAAAGCTAATCCTATTCCTCGTAATGGCCGAACATACCTTGAATTAGACCAATTGAAGATGGATTTCAGCATCAAGGACATCAAAATGGGTGTTGACAATCTGCACAACAGCAATGCAGTCATCGGTATGTCAATACACTTTATTACTTTACAACTCTCACCTTCACATGTAATAAAACTTAATACTAACAACATAACCAAACTTTACACCTTTATTTTATTGTTTTAATGTTTCTAAATTTTTGATTGTAGAAGCCGCATTGAATTTATTCATCAACACCAATGCTCAAGATCTTCTCAAAGAAATGAAACCCGACTTAAAACGAAAATTAATAGCGATAATGTCAAACTTTGTCGAAACATTGTTTGATAATATCCCGTACGACGCTTGGATCACAGACTAATATAATTATTTCTCTGTAATTGAACAAAAAAATAGTGATACCATTTAAGAGTATGTTAAATGTTTTAAATCTCAAACGATAATTTAATTTATTATTTCTTACACATTCTTAGTTAGGTATAATATAAGATATTGTGCAGTCAGACCAAATGACAAGTTGGAAAATATCTGTTCATTAAAGAAAAATGGTCTAATGTTTAATGACGTATAATTATGGCTGAAATAGGCAACTAATTCAACGTTGTCAGTTTGTTACAATTGATGCAATCATATTTTTAATTTTATTATATACAGAATGATCCAAAATTAGAGTTCAGTGAAATTCAGTGTACTAACTAACCAAATAAAATATAATAAAATAAATTACATATTAAACACAAATATTTATTTGTTGTTTTTGTTAGTTCTGTCGTAATTAATTAATAATTTAATTTAAGTTGTTATTTAGCATGTATGTGATTAAGTGGACAGTTTCAACGAAGATTATAGCTTGTTATGAGTAAAAATGGTTAAAAATTATAGTGGAAGTTTAAAAGGGGAGTGTTTGTGAGTCCTTGGTCGGATATGACGTGAACATCCCACGCACGAGACTGCTTATCTATATAAATTGCTGTGTAAACAGTTTTTAAGTGCAAATGTTTACTAATATTTGGCAGTGAATTCTATACAATCTGATTGAATTGTTTTTGATTGTAAGCAGTTAAAATGCAGAAGATTAATAGATTAATAGTGTTTGTTGGAGTATTTAGTGGTTATTTGGCTGCAACAGATATACGTAAACATGAAATATTGAGATTAATATAATAGCTATACTTTTGTGAACATTTTTAGCATCTTTTATGCACATATGTCATAAAAGTAGCCCGGATACTAAAGCATGTATTAAGGATTCTGTTGAAGCACTCAGACCACAATTGCAAAATGGTAAGTAGTATAATTAAATTACTTAGATTAATTATTTTCTTTAAAAAAATAAGAAATGTTTATTGCATTGCATTTGCATTTAGTTGAATCTTCATATCAACGTATATTTCATATTTTACATCCTAAGGTTTAAATTTTTGTTATAAAAAGTAGCTTATACGATTTTTCTATGTAATAATGCATAAAAACATTACAAACATACAAACTCAAAATTTTCAATATTTTTGCTTAAAATTTAGTTTTAAGTTAATAAATATATACATTTTTGTTTATCTTCATGTTTTTAGGAAATCCTGAGTATAATATCCCCAGCGTGGAACCAATTGTTATCGATGATCTCATTAAGGACACTTCTGGTCCATTAAAACTAGAAACTACTCAGGTAGTTGCCTATGGTGGAGGAAATTATGAAATTATTGACATAATGTACGTCTCTCTACAACCAAAATTTATTTTAATTTAATTTTAAACTCAATTTTAGCCCAGATTTTGAGAAATATAGTTTCGAATCTGATATTAATATACCAACATTACGAATCGAAGCAAAATATCGTATCGATGGAAAAGTGTCAGTGGTAGCAGTACGTGGTGAAGGAACATTCCATGCCAACTTAAGTAAGTTATAAAACAATTTAGCAATCATAAAAATAAAAACAACATCTTAAAAATATTTTAATTTTAGCAAATTGTCGCAGTCGATCAACACTAGTCGGAAAACAGGTTCAAAGAGACGGTGAAAATCATCTGGAATTTGTTGAAAACAAAATGAAAGTCACCGTTGGTGGAGGAAATGTGTTATTGGACAATTTGTTTAACGGCGATAAAATATTAAGTAAGCATCTTAATCTTATTCTATTATTTTTGAAAATTGTCTTATAATATGGCTGAAATATAATTTTTTAGCCAAACTGATAAATGATGTGGTCAATGACAATCTACAAACGTTCCTAAAGGATTTAATGCCGTTTATTGAAGCTGGTTTAGCTAAAAACTTCATGAACACTGCGAATCAAATTGTCGGACCGTACACGTGTGAACAATTATTCCCAGAGTAATATTTTACTGTTTACTTTGTTTGTGAACATGTTGGTTGTTGTTTTTGTACTTTGGAGTTAATATATTGATACTAGACAAATAAATAATGCATACTTTCGTTACTTAAATAATATTTTTATTGAATTTATTACAAAATATCTAAAATTTCTATTCTAAACTTAAATTTTTAATATTTAACAGCTCTTTTTGGTTAGAACAACATTTTGCAACGATAAAAGTATTTTTCGAGGTTGTAAGTCTATTTTGGGAAAACTTTATCATATTCCAAATTATTTACGATTTGATTTGCAATTTTCAGAAGAGTATATGCCGCTCTATTCTCAATAAAAGGTGTGGAAATTTTGATTAATTCCTCTTTGTTTGAATTGGCAAGTTCATTAATGGCTTCATCTAAAAAAAAAAAAAAAAAATTAAAATTTAATCTAAAAACAAAAATAATATTAATTTTATTACTTAAAGTTTCATCTCCTTTAACAATATTATCAAGACGTAGTTTATAATCGCCGATCTTCAAATCAATCGTCAAGTCACTAAAGTGCAAATGCTCAAACTCATCACGCACTAAATCTCCTTTCAGAATACCAACACCTTCACAGTTCGCTAAAAATAATAATTATGACAATAAATCACATATCACGATTTACGAATGCAAATAAAATACTCACTTGCATTGGCATCAAACTGTCCATTACTAGTAATTGGCAATGATAGAATTCGTGTATCCACAGCATAATCGCCCTTGAGACGAAGATTTGGGAAAGTCACGGACATTTTGTAAATCATGTTGTCAATATCCAGCCTAGTAAAATTAATAGTATTAATATTATCAATAAAATAAAATATATTTGATATATCTTACTTTAATTTGTTGAGTTCGAAATAACTCGCACCGAAAACTTGCACATTGGTCAAATTCAACATGAAGTGATATTGTCCAACTCCACGGGAAATTATAATGTCTTCTACATTTAATGGTTCTAATGGCGGAACATCTAATTCAGGGATACCTTTTCTTAATTGTGGTCGTAATTCTTCAATTGAATTTTTAATGCAATCATTCAGTTGTGGATCGGATTGATGACAAATGTGAATATAACTTGCTATAAAAAATTAATTTATGACAAAAATCTTTTTTTTTGTTTTTATTTTGTGAATTTAATCACTTTTAACATTTATTTTTATTTTTAAATTTAAACTTGATGCGTTACTGGTTTCAATTTTCAACAAAATAACAAAAATATCAGTAACACAAAACATTTAAATCCAAAAACACAAAAAATAATTTTTGTTGCTTTTAAAACTTACGAATTGCCGCAGTAGAACAATAATTAATTCCGCCAGCAATCACTAACACACAACAAATTAATTTGATCCACATGTTTAAATATTACAGTGTGTAATTCACGTTGATAATGACTAAATTCAAATGATTCTAATCGCAGCACGCGCTGTCGGTTTTGTTGTCTCGTTTATAGCAAAAATGACCAAAAGGAACTCCCACTTTAAGAGTTTCCATTTGGAGTGTGTGTGCGCGCGTCTCGTCCTTACAAAAAAACACTCCAACTGCCGGGCGTCACATCAACGTGCTATCAACAGTGTAATCATCATCATGGAGGCACATGTTTAATGGCTTTCTCGGACAAAGTCACATTTAGTGCGAATGTGTATAAATGTAAAACATGCATCTTTGTATTTCCTTGTGCGCGTTGTATATGTGCGCAAAACTAGTATAAGCTTATATTTATGATTCATAAACAAGTTGATAATTATATTTGTTACACGTTTGAAGGAAAAACCGTGACCGCAACAGACAATTTGTAAATTTAATATATGATTGAGAAAAGAATAAGTGTTTTTCACAGGATCAATATTTATGTTTTTTTGCATAATTCTTAATTCTGAAAATTATAGGTTATATAATTTATTTAGCGGTCAAGGAGAACTTTGTATTGTCTCATCAATAAATACCCATTTAAATTATTATTTAACTATAAGTTGAATTATAAATTAGATTAAATTAATGCCGCTCTAGGAAATCTTTATTTATTTAAATTGAAACTTTGATGTTTTTATCACTTTTTAACATTTTTTAAATTTAACAAAAGCAAAATTTTAAAAACTTGAAAAAGACCTAAAAGTGACGTTTATTTGTTATTAATACCGTATCACCACGTACTTGATTGATAATTATTACCTTGACTTTAATTTGAGTAATAATTGTTTAAAATTTGCATAATTGTTGTCATCAAATCAATAAACTTTAATAAAAATGATTCCATCAGCCGGTTTTTCGAATTAAAAAGGAAAAAACAAGTAATATAATATTATGTGCGTGGTAAGTGAATTTTTAGGTTAACTCGCAGTAAAATAGCTAATAACTAAATAATTTTGTATTAACTCATCAATTTTCCTCATTAAAATAAAAATACTACATTATGCCTGTATCAGTACGCTAATAATGTTAAATAAGTTGCAATTTGCAGTGACGAGACATGACATTTCTTCGTGGACGTCAAGGATAACCGTCTAGTGACATTCGCGATTAATAACATCTAATAACAAACGATCAAAATTCAATTTGATGAAAAAATTACTATGAAGATAAGGTCATTTATAACTCATTCGCATTATAAAGTAGGTATACAACTTGAAATAAACACAAATACAAGATTTAAAAATGCTGAATCATTATGAGTTTTAAGAGTAAATAAAAGAATTTAAAAATGTAAAAAAAAAATAATTTAAAATTAAATTTAAATTAAAACTAATAATTATAATATCATTAGCTTTTGCTTGTAATTTAGTTTGCGACGATTTTAATAAAAACGCTTTAAAGCTGCCAGGATTGGAATTACGCAACAATAACAATAATAGGGAATTCATACTAAATTGCATATCTTATTTCTTACTTTTGAGTTACATTTTTGCATTAAACAGTAGCTTATTTCATTTTCCTTGATCAAAAGATTTTCTACTTCAAATTTTATCAAATTTGTTTTGTTGGAATTTGCGTGATTGCTTTACAAACAAACACACTAACTTATATTCTCATTTATAGTCTCAGTTTGGTTTATACCAACATTCTTACACATATTTTTGTGTAAAAATCAAGGTCAATGTTAAAAAGTGAAGACACATTTAATACTAACCCATTCAAATACATTTTAACACCATAAATACTCTGACCATATAAATTAATTAGTGAAACTTTAGAATTTTAAACTATTCAAGAAGAAAAGCATACATTGACCCACATCATAGTGTATAATTTATTTCGGATATCATGGACAAAACTAGTTTATACTTTATTAATTAATGATGTCTGTGATGAATGCGCTATAGTTTATTTCATTCGCATTCAATTCATTCAATTCGATTCAATTCACTTTTAATAGAAACATTGCTGTTCTTATGATTGTTAATGTACAATATTCCAACATATGAGTATAAAACAAGTTGTTATTAAATCATAATTGTATCATTATATAACTCTGCGTTTATTTCAGCGTTGAAAATACGAGTAATTCATAGTTTTAGTTGATTTTATTGTAATTTTGCAATTTTGTACTCATAATTATACAGATTAGATAAAAAATCACAATGTGTGTGATGCTACGAGACGTGTTAATTGCATTTCCTGTTTTGTCATTGCGTCATTTTTGCTATAGTTCACTTATAAAATACATAAAAATTCAATATCAACAGTTATTTTAATACAATTTCAGTAGAATTTTTTATTTTTGATTTTTTCTTGATTCTAATTGATTTATCGTTGCAAAAATGTCACCAAAAATATTTTTTATCGATTCTGGATATGACTAACCAATTTTTATTGTTGTCGGTATTAAGATTAATTAATATGCACTACACAACCTTAACACCTCACTGACAATAGAGATCAATTCTGTATTCTGCCTTAATTTAATATTCCAACCAAGTATTTTGATTTGGTTAACTAACCAACGTTCCAAAGATGAAGAACCAATAAATATCACCCACATGACTTACAGCAATTCAGTTCATTCACAAGCAACAATTAAAACACATTGAGATACTAGTAAAAGTGTTAAATTTCATAATGGAATTGTTTGGCAAGATTTTATTGATCACTGCTATTTCATTAGCACTTTTCGGTGAAACGTTGAGTAAAATACGTAAGAATCATAAACTATAAAACAATTCAATTGTAAAATCAAAAATTTATTTTTAGCAAATTATATAAAAGTGTGCAGAGCATCCGATCCCAGAGTAACACAATGCATTGCAACTTCAATAAAAGATTTACTCCCAAAATTGAAAAATGGAATCAGAGAATTGGATTTACCACCTATTGAACCTTTACACTTGCATAATATTAAATTAAGCACTGGTAAACACAGCAATATATCGAATTTATACGTTTATGGTATAACTACATTCAAATTAACTGATTTAAAGTAAGTTTTAGGCCAAAATATGCATAAAATACATCAAAAATTTAAAAATTAAAATTTTAGGACAGATGTTGTACATAATCGATTTATGTTCAAATCAGTAGCACCTACATTACATTTTAATGGAAATTATGATTTAGATATGAAATTGGTTTTTATTCCAATAAAAGGCCAAGGAAAAATTAGTGGTGTATTAAGTAAAACATAATAAAAACATAAAATATTGTATTTTAGTATAAATCTAAATATTTTAGATAATTTTCATGCTGACGGAATGATGCACGGCAAGAAAATATGGCGAAATGGCAAACAATATCTACACTTCCAGAAATTCCAGTTAAAAATGCATTCGGCCGATGCCAAATTACAACTGGATAATTTATTCGGCGGTGATCCATTCCTAGGACAAGTTACCAACTCAGTAATCAACAGTAATATAAACGTGATTATGGATGACATAATGCCGGCACTGGAAAATTCGTTAAGCCAAGACTTAACTTCGATAGCAAATAAAATAATGGATAGATTTACATACGATGAATTATTTCCTCAATAATTTAACATCTTCTTTGTTACAAAGAAGTTTTACAAGTTTAATTTGACATTGTCTTGACTGCTGTAATGTGTCTGTAGTTTTTACAATACATTAGTAATGCTGAATAAATTGGCTTTGGTCTTTGTTTTTTGTTTGTTTGCTTGTGTTGAAGAGCTGAATTTAATTTCGTGTTACCACAATGTACGTCAACAGCGTGCACTGTACTTTTAGGTTTTTGTGTTGCAAACATGGCCTTGGAGTTGGAGTTGAATTGAATGCAAACAATTGATGCATACAAATTAAACAATTATTTTGCTTTAAATAGAAAACCATGCATTTCTATGCATTTGAACAAATTTATCAAATTAGAGTAATTTTTTAATAACATGTTGATATTGAAAGAATACTGATAACTAAATACATATAAATGTGTCTAGCCAAAACTGAACAATTCAATTAATAAACGAAACAATCACAATTCAATGCATAAGGAATTAAAAACGGGAATTTAACGACTTTTTAATTGATTATTTCATTTTCGTTTATTATTATTGATTGTCGCCTGTGATAACACTGGCTTATATAAAAAGTAAAAGTCTATGTTGTGTTTTTGTCTACTTTGCATCGTAGAACAGGAAAGTTTAGCACAATGTTGAATTCGTGGAAGTTTTCGGTTTTTATTTTTACAATCACAATTTTCCAAGTGCACTTTGTCAAATCAGCAATACGTAAGTAAAATAATGATCACAAATCAATCAGTTTGGTGTTTTGTGCAAGTGTAATTAAGTTCAATTATTGTAAATTGAACGGTGATAACGTGTGAATTTCCAGCCGACTATATTCAAGTGTGCAAACGTAGTGATCCCAATTTAGACGACTGTGTGAAAAACTCAATTGTGAACTTGCGTCAGAAACTTGCGACAGGAATACCCGAATTGAACGTACCAGGAATCGAACCACTGTATATCCGTAGACTAGAGTTACAGGACAATGTTAATGTCAACTTTACGGATGTTTATATTCATGGACCTTCAGAGTTTGATTTGGCTGAAATGAAGTAGGCAACACCACAATTATGTTTAATTATGAGAGCCGACTATAGGCAACCAACATTACACGTTTTCATTTACAGAATAGACATCAAAAAGAATCGGTTTGTTTTTCTCTACAAATTCAAAGAATTAAAATTTGAAGGAAAATATGATATCGACATGGAAATCCTACGTATTCCTCTGAAGTCCAGTGGACCTATGCATGGACATTTCAGTAAGTAATTAATAAAACACCAAAATTTACAGAATAATTTTTCTTGTTTTTAATTTTTATAGAAAATTGTCAGATTACTGGCAAAATGGTAGGCAAGAAAATGATGATAAACGATAAATCGCACATGATTTTCCGCCCAATTGAATTAAAAATCTACCAGGGACAAACATACCTACGTCTGGAGAATTTATTCCGTGGTCAGAAAGCGCTGCAAGACGCGACAAACGACTTACTCAACGAAAACAACGCTCTATTGCAAAATGAAATTCTGCCAGCGTTGGAAAAAACTCTAGGGGAACACTTTACTCTCATTGCCAATAAAATAACGTCACATTTTACGTACGATGAACTATTTCCACTGAATTAAACTCAGACTAATTACAATTAAATGATGTTTACTAAGAATAATAGAACCTGTTTTTTGGGTATATTTTATAGATCCAAATATATTTGCAATTTATTTGTCTGTACCTAATAAACGTTAACTTTTCGATTTTATTATAGTTTGTGAAATGTGTTTTCAACGTGAAATACTGGATGATTTTTTCGTTTTTCTTCAAAAGTTTGTGTATAAAATAAGCTTTCGGAGAGGAATCAGCAGTTGCATCTTGATCTGTAACAAATATACACTTTAATTCAAGTAATTTAATCAAAACTAAACTTGATTAGTTAAAATGAATTTAATTCAAAGTGGAATTTGTATTCTATTGTTGTGTGTGGCAGCAAATGCAGAAATACGTAAGTTTTTCTATATTTTTCTGATTAAAACAATTAAAAATGTAATTTTTATTTTGTTTCCATGCAGCTGATTATATAAAGGTGTGTAAACGAGACAATGAAGATATATCAGCATGTATTATAAAATCCGTGGAAATCTTGGCCGAGAAATTGTTAGATGGAATTCCAGAATTGGGAGTTCCACCAATAGAACCATTAACATTGGATGATTTACAAATCAGCAAAGGATTAAAATTAAATGTAACAGATATTGTTATAAATGGTGCAGGAAAATTTAAAATCAAGGAACTCAAGTAATTTAATTTCCTATATTTTACCAATAATCATAATTTAACATTTTTTAATCAATTTTTTACCATTTTAGAGCGGAAGTAAACAAAAATAGATTCGCTGTTCTGCTTCACATTCCTGTTCTTGATCTTGTTGGTAAACATTCAATCGACATGGAATTATTAACAATTCCTCTGAAAGGAAGCGGACCATTCACAGCTAAATTCAGTAAGTTATAATTTTATTACTCAAAACATTATCAAAATAATATTTAATAATATTGTTATTTAGCTGAATTTACCATTGGTGTCAAAATGAAAGGACGTGTTGTGGACGATAACGGCGTAAATCGTCTTAAATTTGATCCGTTTGATGTTCAAGTTGCAATCGCAGGAATAAAGCAGTTGAACCTTGAAGGTTTATTCGAAGATAATCCCACATTGAAAATGGCTGGTAAAGCTGTGATTGACGACAATATGGACGTTCTTCTTGATGAACTTCGTCCAGAAATTGAACATTCAATGAGCACAACTTTAACTCGTCTCGCAAATCAAATCACAAGCCATTTTACTTATGAAGAATTATTTCCACAATAATAATTCACTTTAAAACATTATATTTTGTTATGTTTATCAATTATGTTTGCAATTTAATCAAATAAATTTTTTATCGACTGCAGAAGAAATATTTCTTTAAATTTCTTAAAATTCATCATAACACAATCAAATAAACAAAAATTAATATTTACCTAAAACTATTAGATGTTTTGTTAATTTTTTAATATATTTACATTATGTAAGAGTCAAGGTCATCATTTAAATTTTAGATTACCTACTATGCTCGTTAATGCTCAAGCTAAAATCACAAATAATAAAATTCGCTTTTAATTTCCGAAAAAAAACTTTAAACTAATTAAGTGAATAATTTATCATTACACTAATTAAATCCGCTTCCTAAAAACTTTACCTTCAAAAGTTCACACACTGAGCAAATTATATTTGTGTAAACTAATTTGAATTAGGTATATCTAATATATAAAAACGTCGTGATTAAAAACAAGGTTCGTGCGAGTTTTTGTCGAATCTACAAAGACGCGATTTGATTTTTCACATAAATAGCAGATTAGTTGACTTCTACAAATTAGTCCTTAACTTGGCGTCGATTCACGACGAGCAAATTATTAACTCTTAGTAAAATAAATAAATTAACATCACGCTAAAATGTTACATCGGTGTGTTTTTGCTGTTTTTTGTTTAGTTTTATATGTTAATGCTGAAATTCGTAAGTATTTCAATGTTTAATATAACAACAACGTCAAATATTAATAATAATTTTTATTTTTTAATTTAGCTTCGTTTATAAAAGTCTGCAAAGCAACAAATCCTGATCTAGGAGGATGTATCAAATCATCAGTGTTAACATTACAACCAAATTTAGCAAAAGGAATTCCTGAATTAGATGTACCAGTTTTGGAGCCCTTCGACGTTGATGATTTATCCGTCAGGACTAACTTGAACATCAACATTACTGACTTCAAACTGCACAACCTGTTAGCCTTCGAAATCCTTGATATTTCGTAAGTAGTGTATAAATTTAGTTCAATTTGAGTTTTGTTTTATTTTTCAAACTGCACGCAAGGCTACAGTCACTGATAAAACACTTAAATTTATTTATTTGTTTTTTTTTTCTTGTATACAGTGCGTCGTATGAGAAATACCAATTCGCTTTTGTGCTGAAGTTCACTAACGTCGAAGTCAGCGGTGATTATACGATCGACACCAAGCTTCTTACGATTCCATTGCAAGGCCACGGACCGCTTACCGGACGCATAGGTATGTCAAAAATTCCGAATTCTTGCAACACTCAACAAATATCAGGTTGAATTCAGCCAAATATTTGCCATACTGGGATAAACCAGATTTTTGCATTTTTTTTTGTTTAGGATCGATTCATTTCATTGGAAAACTCAAAGGAAAACGTATACAAATCAACGGAGAAAATCATATTGAGTTGAGATTCTTGGAATTCAAAATTACGGACTGGAAGAATGTTAAATTCAGTATGAGTGGACTCTTCCCAGATAACAAACAACTAGCTGAAGCTGCAACTAGAGTCGTTGAAGATAACTCTGATGTACTTCTTGAAGAAATGGTTCCAACACTTGAAACTAACTTAAATCGAAAAATTACAGAAATAGCAAATAAAATCGTACGAAAATTCACTGAAGAAGAAATCTTCCCAAAAAATTAAATTAATTTTCTTTATTTCATAAAATTTTGTATTAAAATTAAAATTATAAATAAAACAAAGAAATTTTATATCTTTTCTCGTAAAATATAAGAAATAGTTAATAATTGTTTATCCAAGTGGAAATTACCTATGTTTACATGATGCACCGCCCTAAAATTGTAATTGCATCGCGAGTAGCATTAATGTTAATTGATAGGCGGTTGATAATTCGGTTTGTTAACGGCGGCACGCAGTTCGTTCTTCGATGATACGCTCGAGTCATGCACAGACGACTTTTCCCGCAAACGATTTCAAGGATCACGCCGCGAACGATGCGGCTACTGATATTTATATTGCGCCAGCCACCACACGACGCCTATATCAAACGATGACAATTTGAATTCGTGGTCATTGCAATAAGCCGCTCGGACAAGCAACGTGCACCTGACCAAAACTTACTCGTTTGATTGATGTTATACTAATTTCTTATTGCATTGACATTAACGACAAAAAACTTTCCATAATGATTAAACAAGTTCTCAGTATATTTGTGTTGTGTTTGGTTGGACTAACGACTTGTATGATACGTAAGTAATTATATTTTATTGATAATATGTTTTAAATTTGTTTTAAATTATTTTTTATTGGTTTTGTTCAGCTGATTATATTAAACCGTGCAAGGCGGATGATCCTGAGATTTCTAAATGTATTATTCGCGCCATAAATGAACTCAGGCCGCAGTTACAAAAGGGAATTCCGGAACTGGAAGTGCCGCCGATGGAACCGCTTCATTTGGATGCTATCCGGTTGACCAGAGGTATTCAATGCAATGTCACAGATGTCGAGGTTTGGGGACCGTCATCGTTCGAAATAACTGAATTACGGTGAGATTTAATTAAATATATAATAATTAATTATCAAAAAAAATCCTTTATTTATAAAGGACAATCATTTCAAAAAGATTTTTTTAAAGAAACGTTGCAACTAAAACGTTTATTTTAGTTTTAACAAATTAAAATTTACAATTTACAACAGTAATTTTGACAAATCTTACTTTCTCATTGACAAGCAAACTAAAACAAATAAATAAAAGAAAATTCAAGGCAATTTTTTTTTTTCAAAATAAAGAAGAAGAATTCTGTTTTATCAGAATGAAAAGAATTGTTTTATAAATTGCAATATATACCAGACTAACCAGAACTGATAAAATAAATCAAACTTAATGCTTAAGCAATATTTATTTTACATTACTATTTACAATCTATAAATATAGCACATAATTAAATCATAATACAATATAAAAACAGTAATTTTAGTTTGTTGACATTTAATTTCTTATTATTTTTGTTGCGTCTCCACTTTTTGTATTCTAACGCTTATTATCGCTAATTACATACTATTATGTGCATTTCACGCGATAATTATAATCATGTGCAAGCAGACATTTAATAAGCGTCATGGAATGGAGTTTGCAACTTCATTTTCGTAGGGCAGCAAGTAATTAAACACGGCTATTATTAAAAGTTATCTGCGAACCACGCATTAATTCATAATGACACACATCGCAATAAATACAACAAGTACAACAAGTACAACAGGTAGAAATAATTATGTACTAGATATTAAAAAGCAAACAAAGCGAAACACCTTGGAAGAAACTCGTATAAAAGTAAAAATTCAAATCGTACGCAAAAAGCGCAAAAAATTATTATTTATGCATAGGATTTGTTTTTAAATTGTTTGATTGTTATTTGTTTAGAACAATAGTTGGATAATAATAATTGAAATATGTGGTGTTTGCGGTTTTCAGTGCCAACGTACCAAAAAATCGTTTCGCCTTCATCGTACGCCTTCCATTCTTGCAATTCAAAGGTCACTATGAGCTGAATTCAAGAATTCTCGTGCTTAACTTGCGAGGAAGTGGGCCAATTCACGGAAATTTCAGTAAGTACACACTTATTAATGCAAATAACATAAATTTCATTTAGTCATGGTTTGGTCATGCAAATTTGTTCAAGTGATAAATAATATTACATAAGCTTAATTTTTTTATGAAAAATTCTCTTGACATTGAAACGAATGATGAACAAAAACAATGAAGTTTACTTTATTATAACTAGGTGATGGTTGAGCTATAATTGACTAAAATACACATTAAATTTTAACAACCACAAAAAACACTTATGTGCAAAAATTATGATAGAATTGTTCAATGTCAAACAATTTAATCGTTTTGTACGATTTAACAATGCTCATTTGTAGTAATTTAGATTTTATGCACGAAAGGTATGAGAAACACGCAATAAATTTAAATTTAAAAATAAAACTGCGGTTTTTATACAAATATACTAAAAGTGGTGGTAGCAAAGAGAAACAACAAAGTTTTAAACTATTTAAATTCTACGCAGGTTGTATGTAGTGTTGGTTGCCTATATTAAAGCAAACCAAGTCAATAAATATTAGCTTTCACTAAAACTTTTTCAAACTTATTGAAGTTTGCAATATTTATAGAGAAATTTAACATTGCTGGTCACTCGTAATTTAAAATATTACATTAGCATTAACAACAACTGTTCAAGCAAAGTATAATCACGCACTATTATTAACACTTTCTAATGTGTAACTTTTGTTACAAATAATATCAGTAAATATTATATATTTTTGTGGAATTATTGAAAGTTTTGGATTGCATGTAACATTAAAGCAAATGATGTTCTAAAATTATATATATTTACAATCATTGTAGGTCTAAAACTTTTTAGTAATTTTTTCCTGTTAAAAAAACTGTTACTTAACTTTTGTCATTTTAATTATTAAAAAGATCCTTTTGTCAGCAATTTTATCCTCGTAGTTTTGAGTAAAAAAGTAATTAATATTTACTATTTTATCATAAATTGCTAATAATGCACTTTAGCGCCTTCCCTGACTAAATTATTTAACTATAACTATCAGTAAATTTATATTAGTTTACATCCTCTATTTAACATTGTTAAAGTTATAATTTTTGATATTTTAATAGATATTCTGCTATTTGGGGCCAAGACAAATCCTACCGATCATAGATTATCAAAATATGTTAAACCGTTCTTGAGTTATAAGTGATGTAACTAACCAAACCTTGTTTAATGTATACCTTTATATAGATATATGTATTAAAATATATTTTATGTTTCAGCTGATTACAGTTTTCAAGGAGTTCTGAAAGGCAAACGTATTCAACAAAACGGAGAAGAATACTTGAAATTCGACAAAATGAAATTGACAATCTTCCCGGGTCACACAGTAATGCGATTAGATAATCTCTTCAATGGTAATGCAGCTCTTGGCAGAGCGACCAATGACGTCCTAAACGATTCACAAGACGCCATCTTGGAAGAAGTGCGACCTGCGCTCACTGACGCGCTCAGCGAACTATTCACCAACATAGCAAATAAAATCACACTGCGCTTTACTTATAACGAACTATTCTTATAAAATATTCATATTTATAATATTGCATAATAAGTTTTGCTTTTTCTTGCTATGTTTGTTATTTAGTGCTTTTCTTCTATATTTTATATAAAACACTATTCATCGCATTGAACTAAAAGTACTTATTGCTTATACTTGACATACAATTGTTAAAGTAGTCAGTATTAGACATTAATGTAACATTATCATATTGTAAGAATTGTACAAAAGTGAAATTTGCAAAATTGCAAAATCGAAGAAAAAAAAATTATACTTTTCCAAGAAAATTTCGTTCATTAATTTGTGCATCGTGCAATTGATGTACCTGAAGTCAAAGAAGAAGTAATAGTTAATAATAACACACAATTTTTTTCCAATTGCTTGTTCAACTGGTCTTTGAATATGTGCAAAAGTGAAATTATTGTAAACTTATGGTTACCACAGCATGTCGGAGATTTATTTGCATTTTAGATTATCGTTATTTCACTGCGTTAAGATGCGTAACATGCGAAAGTATACAAAGTGTTTAAAATAAATATAAACATATTAATAATTGACAGGATGTGGATTTGGAAACATTCTGTGTATGTATGTTAGCAGAGTCAATTAAAATTTCAATTTTAAATTGCATCATTGAGAACGACGACCTGAAATATACTCAAATTTCTTGTTTTTATAAAAAATTGATATTTGCCAAGAAACTTTGAACTTTAAAAACTTAAATTTTTAAAATTTTATTTGTACTTTGAACTTAAGAGAAATTATTAACATTTATGTTATTATAATGATGATTACGATGTTCGCAAACAAAATTTGCATATTATTTAACGTAAAATGTCACACGTTGAATGCGGGTAAACTTTTATTGAAAACGTTTAACCATTCAATTATGTACTGTGTTAATATTTATTGGCGTAATTAATTTTAAATTGTTTATAACTAGTGCAATTATTATTAATGTGACAAACTTATATATTTGGTTTGTTTATGTGTGAGTCTATTGCACATAATCCTCGGAAGAAATTTTGATAAATTTTTAGATTGTTTTGACCTTGGAAAAGCAATATTTCGACGCAAAAATATAACTTGCAAGATGTAAAATGTGTTATTAAATTTGGATCGTGATTGATTTAATTATCACTGCTTTAAATTAAAATTAGGAACTTTATTGTAAGATTTTTAACATAAAAGTTCTAAGAAATAAGAAAATACTCACTTAAAATACTCAAAAACTAGTTAGGACGATTTTATTAAAATTTGTGCATACAAAATTGTGGGCAAAAAAATTAAGTAAAAAGTGTTTTTATTAAACAGATGCTCAAAATGAAGAAAATAAAAAAATTGGGTTTACCACATTAATTTACTTCATTTTGTGTTCCAAAAAGTTGAAGAAACTGGTTTTGCAATTATAATTAAATTTCATCTTAACCTACATTAAAAAATAATATTTCTTTAATTAAATTGCATGGAACATATAACAAACAATAATAATATTTAAACATAGCATTCGAGGCATCAAAATATTTACGTCTTGAAATGTTAAAAATTAATTAAATGTTTTTGAATGAATGATAATGAATGAATGAAACATATTTTTGAATGAATATACGATTAAAAGTTTTAATATAATTTACATCAAATGTATTATTAATATTCATTTACAGCGTTATATTCAATACATTAATTCTTGATTGAAATCAATATACGTTTGTGATTGTGTGAGTTTGGTGCCGGTATTCGAAATTGATGGGAAGGGTAGCGCTTACATAAAAACCGTTTTCACTTTTGCCTTTTCACTTGTCGCACGAAAACGCATTCGAGATGAAGTCGCCACAGTTGCTGCTACTGTTTGCCACAGTCGCCATATTTGAGTGCACACATGCTGCCGTCCTGCGTAAGTCAAATTGTTTTAAAACACTTAAATCAATATTCTAATCATCCGAAACTAAAAAGAAAACTAAGCAGAATTCAATACAAATTTCAAACATATTTTGACATAAACTTTTAACAAAACATTTAATATTTAACAAATAAGTTTAAACTTTTGACTTTCGCAATACATTGGCAATTTTTTTACTTACCTACTTCTGTATAAACTAACTATGTTTACTTGCACAATATACTCACTCACACATAAATAAATACCTATTGAGCATGTTAAATCGATGGAAAATCGAGTTGTTTGTTAGATTGTGCCAAGGATGTCAGCAACCGGTTTGTTTTATATCACCTTCATAATTATTTAATTCGTAGCAATAAAAACAAATTTATTAAAATAAATAGTAGCAATTTTAACACGAATAGATTTTATTATGGGTTAAACTCAGTCAATTGATATTTTTTAAAATTATTCTCAATCAAATATTTTAACTTTCGAATGCAGCGATAACGACTTGACATCGTTGGTAATAAATTTCACTCTTCGCACGAGTGGTGCGTCGCGCATGTCTTTCGATCAAGACGCACAACTCTTACTTTCGGCTTTAACCATGCGCAACCGTTACATACAGCTTATTTAGGAATGCGATTTGCTATCGAGTTAACGACGCTAATGTTTCTACTCACTGTACTTACACAATCATGCATTATATGGTAAGAAATCTGCAATCTGCACGAAAGAGTAATATCATGTAATTTTTATAATTCGCGCATTATTTTCCTATTACCAGTCATTATCAACTGATATCCGGTTTGCTGTACCGGAACTACACATTATCGATAAATATTCGTGATAATTTCCTAGTTGTTAACAGAAATTTATATGCAATTAATTTTAATTATATTTCTGATTGTTTATGTCCATATAGCGGAGAGATTGCAATTGAATATTTGTAAGAAATCCGAAGATGATTATCAAGCGTGTTTGCTGCAAGCTTTCGAAAAAGCTCGTCCGCATTTCCTCAACGGTGTTCCGGAACTGGACTTTCCCGGAATCGATCCGTTGGTCATCAATGTTACCTCCGTTGACCGGACTCTAAATGAACTTATCAGTATCAAAGCTGTCTTGAAGAATGTTCGAGTTACTGGATTAGGTGGAGTTGTCATCAATGACTTAAAGTAAGTAACAATATTTAATTTATTTTCAAAGTTTGATTTTATATTTTTGTGTTTTAGAGTTGATTTGAAAAATATGATTGGTGAAATTCGGCTTACCGTTCCACATTGTGAAATGTCAATGGAGCATGATGTGTCTGGTCAGTTATTAATTGTCCCATTGAGAAACAAAGGATATTTCCGAGGAAATTTCTGTAAGTAATTTTAATTTGTTATATGCAACCCAAAATACATTGAATGTTTTAATAGCTAACATCCAAATGTACATGAGAGCGCAGTTCAAGAAATATAAACAAGCTGACGTTGAATATTTTACTGTGGACAAGTTTGATACAAAATTCCGTGTTGGTGATGGCGTGATTAAAATCATTGCCAAGAATCCTGACCTTCAATTCACAGGTAATATTAATTAATACCTTATAATTTAGAAAATTTAATTTGGTTGCGAATATGTGTTTATTTGTTTTTTATTGTAGCTGATTTAATTACAAACTTCTACAATGAGAATCCACGCCTTGTAATGGATTCTATCAGTCCAATTTACAACGAATATTCAAACCAAGTAATTAAACAGGAAATTAATAATTATTTGGCACGTGTTCCTGCAGCGGAATTTCTTCCAGAATAACTTTAAATAAGTAAAAGCATTTTATAGATATTTTAGAAAAAGTTTCAGTTTAGAAAAATAGTTCTTGGCGGAATAATCATATTGATAAGTAATTGTTAAATAACTGCTATTGTGCAGTTTAAGCTACCACATAAACAGTTGAGGAGTTTTAATAAGCTTTAAAATAGAAATTAAGGAAAAGTTTTGTAAATTTTTTGATATTTTATTGCGTTTTGTAATAAAGAAAACACCAAAAATAAATTAAATTTAAAAAATTGCTTCTCTTTAATTAATGTTATTCTACCATGGTCAATTATAATGTCAATAACTACAGATTTTTTTCGGTTTATGCAAATTGACCTTGAAATATAAAGAAACTTTAAACTTTTAAATGATCAAAACAAGATACATTTTATGACGATCTGTCAAATCCTCAGTTTCTTTTTGAGTCTGTAGAATATTTGTTCAGTTAGTAAAATGATTCGGTATAGTTCACACATACGTATCTCACTAGCGTTAGTTTTAGTTTCAATTTTTTTGTTTCAAGATGTGAATGCAGCAAAGAAGAAAATACGTGAGTTACAAATAATAAATACCGAAATATTTATTAATAATTATTTTAGTCTTTGGCATTTTTACAAAATTATTTCTTATTTTTAGCTAATTTTGTTAAATTATGCAGTCGATCATCACCCAAAGAAGAAATTCAAAAATGCATGGCTGATAATATTGAAACATTCAAACCACATTTAAGTGCTGGTATTCCCGAAATGCGTCTTAGAGAATTAGACCCTTTATTTTTAGAGAAGGTTGTGATGGAAGTGCCCAATTTCCATATTGATTTTACCAACACTACAGTTAACGGAGCATCAAACTTTAAAGTGCTCAATAACTCAATCAACTTTAATGAAAATTTTCTCAGCCTGGGCTTAAATTTTCCATTTGTGCGCATGGAAGGCGATTATCAAATATCTGGCAAATTGTTGGTAATACAACTTGAAAGTAAAGGAACATTTTGGTTAAATACTTGTAAGTAGTAACTATTCATACGATTTTTACAAAAATTTAAAAAACTTATTTTAATTAAATTTAATTTTTAGCTAATATTGATATGTATGTTGAACTGCATGGGAAACGTCAAGAAAAAAACGGAAAAATGTATTTGGATTTCAACGACAAATCAAAAAACAGTATACAGTTGAACATTATTGATACACCACTCATTCACTTCAACAAATTATTCGAGAACAATGAAGAACTAACCAAGACAACAAACGTCATAATCAACGATAATGTCAGGGAAATCATTAAAGAATTGATGCCAATTGTAAATGAAATTCTCGGATCGTTTGTCTTCAATACAGTGCAGACTATTTTTAATACATTTACAATTGACGAATTATTTTTACAATAAATAAATATACTCATGCAACTTTATGTTGCATGCTATATGTTACAACGGCAATTTTGTACATTATATTTATAAAGTGAGAAGACATATTGCACTTTAATCACCACTTTTAATTTTTGGGAAATGAAACTGACATTTTTATAATGTACGAGTTTGCACGATGAAATATCTAGAATTGTTTTCGATGGCCGAAAAGTGAATGCATTCGGGCATGATCAAGTGCAGTTTCAATTTTTAATTCAATTGACTCGGAATTAAATGCAAAAGTGTTGTTTGATGAAACAGGACTATTTAAGGAAATACGACATGCACAGTAATAGTATTCATACTGTAATAAAGAGAAATTATGTCATTACCGTATGCGCATAGTGGTTTTCCAATAATTGCATTATTTAAAAATGTAAAGCAAAAAAACCGATCCTCTAGTGACGCTGCTATACTATCAAACCCCCTCTTAATCTGATAATGATGCTAATTATACACACAATTATTTTGTTTACAACTTTTGTCACAGTTTTATCTGTTTAACTATTGTTTTATATCCAATTGTGGTAAGTATTTTGTACAAAACCAGGTATTAAAGAGAAGGAAATTGATGCACATTTATATTTGACCTTAAAATTAAAATTAAAACCTGTAAACTTGAAAACGAGTTGCACGTTGCAATCATCTACGTAATTTTTCGCATAAATAGCGCTTTAAATCAAATTCGCGTGCACATTATATAAAATACTAGATATCAATAGTCTCAAACATGTTACCGAGACGAAAATATGTATTAAATTTTGTATTTTTAATTTTATATAATATAATATTAATAAAACTAGTAAATTGCGTAAAAGTAAAACTCCGTAAGTATTAATTAATTCATAAATAAATAAATGTTTTTAATAATTGAAATATTTTAGCTGACTTTGTAAAGCAATGCAGTTTATCAGCATCACCAGAAGATCAACAAAAGTGCATAGACGAAAATGTAGAAATATTCAAACCAAGATTTGCATCCGGTATACCGGAAATGCGAATTCCTGCCTTGGACCCACTGTTTTTAGAAACTATTATAATGTCAGCAGAAAATTTCAATGCCAAATTCACCAACGCTACAGTTGTGGGAGCGTCAAACTTTGAAATGATAAATTCAACATTTGATATTGCAAACTATTCTCTTATCATGAATGTACGATTCCCATACGTACATTTGGACAGTAATTATCGCATTGATGGAAAATTATTAGTTTTACAATTGAAGAGTAATGGAAAATGTTGGTTAAATGCAAGTAAGTAGAGTATATTTACACAATTGGGTAAATTTGATTTTATTTTTGTTTATTTTAAGGTAATGTTGACGGATACATTGAAATAAATGGAAAGTTACGCAAAGAAAATGATAAGACGTATTTGGATTTCAATGATCGATCCAAAAACAAGATTAAATTGAATATCAAAGATAAACCTGCAGTGTATTTCGCGGATTTGTTTAAAGGCAGTGAAGAGCTGACGAAAACAACGAACGCGGTGATCAATGATAATATTGTACAAATTATGGAAGACTTTATGCCAATTGTCAATGAAATTATCGGTTCGTTTGTGTTCACATCAATTCAGACTATATTTAATACTTTTTCAATGGAAGAATTATTTTTACCATAAATATTTTAATAACTTATTGGAATGTACATATTCTTTTTGAATAAATAAATATTAAATAAGTACACTGCATTAATTGTATTTCCGTATTAGCATTTAGTTGACTTGATACCAACTGGATGGCGCTCGATACACGAAAATATATTTTATTATTATACTAGTTTTTACATTGCAAGAAAAAAGTAGCCTATTTGTTTCTTCTTGGTTAAAAATATCTCGATGCAAAAATTTATCAAAATTGATTCAGCGGTTTTTGGATGAATGCGTCACAAACATACACACACTTACATGATGTGAAATACCGATATCAATATCAGTATACCGGTATTTTGTATATAAAATATTTCCATCAGCATCAAAAATATTGATTTTTAATTCAAAATTCCCAACCTTATTACTGACAATCGTGTTTTAACAGCATTTTGTGATTAAAATTCTAAATGCAGATAATATCAACTGAAAATTCTTAAAAATAGCAATAAAAATCAAATAAACCATAAACCACAACAATAAAATATGTGTTAAGGCTTTATATTATGCCATTTAATGACACATCGACTCCTATGACAAATTCGAAAGTCATTAACAAGTTTTACAGTATCACTCGAAACATTTTTTATAAATCATTTTATTTCCATCTAATTTAATTAAATTTATCCAATGTTTTTGTATAATTTGTAATTAATGTAATTTAAAATGAATATTCACAATAGAAGCCAAGAGATAATGCATCTTGTCAAGGTTATTATCGCCTCTCAACTTGCAACAGCATGTAGATTTTGCAATTGCAATTGATTGACTATTAAGTATGTGCGCATCACGCAATTACACGCTTTTCTTTCAGCTCAAATGCTTTTTTCGCATTTTCTTGGTCAATACATGAATGCAAATGTTGAACAATCGCACACACCATTGCAAAAATGTGTTACTACTGGATTTGTATATAAACATCTCAAGTGTACTGATGCTGACATTCAATTGATGCTCGACATTGTAACAACATCAATTAAATTTATTTTTAAATTATAAAAAACGTAAACAAATAGAAATGAAGCTGAATATTTTGATTTTTGTGTGTTTTATGGCAATTTGTTCATCTGCTGAAGTTCCTACAGACAATAAACTTCGTGAGTAATAATAATATTAAATATAAAAATATTTAAAACTACGAATTTGTTTGTAGCACCTTATATAAAGATCTGTAAAAGAAATTCCGAGGCGTTGAAATGCGTATTGGAGAATATCGAACGGTGTCGGCCATATTTAGCTAAAGGTATTCCAAGATTACTCATCCCAGCACTGGATCCATTGAATCTGCCAGAATTAGATATTGTTGGAAATAATTTACGCATCAAATTGAAAAATCTCAAAGTACACAATTTGCCATCATTGAAGGTCGTTGATGGAAAACTAGAGTTTGAAGATTTTAAGCTTGCGTTAAAATTAAACATTCCTCACATTTATAATGAGTTTGAATACGAAGCAGAAGGAAAAATTTTGGTGCTGAACTTCCATGGTAATGGAAGTGGATATACAAATGGATGTAAGTACAAAATTTATAATATAAAATTAAATCGCAAAATCTGTTGGTAAGCGCATAACTCAACAACGCCAAGACCAAGTTTACTAATTCTTTTTTTTAAATGTTGCTTAAAGTCCAAGGATGGTTTTTACGGCAATAAAAATTCGAATAATTACCGGGAAAATTCTAAAGACTGCCCTTTTCTATAGGATAAAATTTGGCATTGAAATTCAATCATAGTTATAGTTAAATAGTTGAATCCGAGATGGCACGCTGAAGTGCATTATTAGCAATTCTTTATATAATTAATTTCTTTAAATTAAAATTACGAATCTTATTTATAGAATTGACACAGACTTTCTACAACAAGAGAGTAAAAACAAATTACATTTATATTAAACACTATCGGGTCGAAGCCGCGGGAAAAACCTAGTTAAACATAAAAATCATTTTTCAAACAAGTTTCAAGTAAAAAAAAGTTGAAAATTATATTTTTCTTGAATAATACAAATTAAATATTATAGGTTTTTAATTGTATGTTAATAATTTATTTACAGCTGATATCAACCTTGATATCGACGCAAAAGCACATCCGGTGAGCAAAGATGGCCGCACAACATTGGCTGTTGATTACGTGAATGTGAAATACAAGGCGACGACAGGCAAGTTTCACGTTGATAATTTGTTCAGAGACCAGAAGGAACTCAACGACCAAACAAACCGTCTGATTAATGAGAACTTCCGTGAGTTTGAAGACGAAATCAGTCCTGATATCGGTAAATCTATTTCGAGCGTTATTACAAGAATTGCCACAAACATTTTAGAAAAATATTCATTTGATGAATTATTCCCATTAGAATAACAAACATAGAATAATGTAGAATAATTTTTAATAGAAGTTTAATGTTGAGTGTATTTCAAGGTTTGAAGTCAAATAAAAAGAGAACTATTTCAATACAAAAAGTTTGTTTTTACTTTTTGTTGATTTATTAATTGGTTGAGTTTTGTATTCAAATTATTGAGTAAAGTCAACTGATATAAATAAATGTGGAGATCAACTAATATCCAGTCAAGTCTTACGTCGATTAATGAAAATATCAACCAGTTTATAATTAAAACAAAAATTACTTCCTTTATATTAATAACAAAACGCATTAGTTATTTAATACAAAAATGAAATTTTGTGAAATATTATTCTTTTTTAGTGTATGTTTAATTCAACCAGGATTATTTAAATCACAATTCCGTAAGTAATCTTACTTTTATTATAATAGTATATTAAGTATCAAGTGGCTAAACGGGAATTTTTGTTACGAGATTGATTAAGAGCGAACACAGCTAGTATTTTATCAATCGAGTGTTTAACAACGTTTAACTACGAGCAGCAGTAGCGCCTGCTACATTTCATTTGGTGTTATGCTGCACAGTAGACAAACGCGCGGGGGCAAGCTCCGCCCCGTGACTAAAACCTGTGACTAAAGTTCTTTAGTCACGGCCTTAACCCATAATTTTTAATAGTAGTATAATTTTATTTTTAGCGTCATTCATAAACGTTTGTAAGCGAAATTCAGATTCAGATGCACTCAAATGTGTCCTTGATAATGTAGAACGTTGTCGTGAACATCTCGCTAAAGGCATTCCTCGTTTAGTCATACCACCAATGGATCCTCTAATCGTGCCTTCATTAGACATCATAGGACATAACCTAAATATTAACCTCAAAAACTTAAACGTGCACAATCTACTTGCACTCAACGTAGCTGGAGGCGATTTAAAACTAGGACATTCACTAGTATTAAATCTCACAGTTCCGTATGTATTTACCAAGTTCCAATATGAAGCTGATGGAAAATTACTAGGATTGGTTTTCAAAGGAGATGGAGATGGCTACGTCAATGCTAGTAATTATATTGAATTATAAATATTCCATTATTATTAATAATGTTTTGTGTGTGTTTAATATGTTCCAGGTGATGTAACAATAAACATCGAAGCAAAAAGTCATCCAGTACATAGAAACCAACAAACATATTTGGACATTGATTATATTCATGTTGAGTATAAAGCTAAAACAGGCATGATAAATATCGAAAATTTATTCAAAAAACAAGACGAACTTAATGCGGCTACTAATAAATTAATTAACGATAATTTCAATGCATTTGATAATGAAATTGCACCTGATATTGCTAAATCTATTTCGGCGTTGATTGAATCCATTGCAAGAAATTTGTTTGAAAAGTTTAGTTATGATGAAATGTTTCCAGAAAATTAAATTTAACAATCCTGCATACGTCAAAAGAAAATATTAGTAAATTCAGCAAAAAATAGAATGTAATACAACGTCATCAATAATTTTCGACGAGCCATAAATTCATTAGTAGTTTAGTTTTAATTTACGAGTAAGCAGGTTGTAATTTTATTATTTTAGTAACACGATGAATTTTTATAATGTTAAACTTGTTTTAAGTGTTTTAATCATTTTTATTTCAATAAAAATCGATGCAAAACGAAACAAAAATAAATTACGTAAGTATAATCCAATTTTATGCATTAAAACATAAATAATATTAGAAATTTATATTTTTAGCAAGTTTCTTAAATATATGTCAAAGAAATGATCCGCACCTAAACGATTGCATAAAAAAATCCGTGGAGAATTTACGTCCATTGCTTCGAAAAGGAATTCCAGAGTTTGATATACCAAGTTGTGAACCTTTGCACATTCCGGAAGTAGTCATCGATCAAGGCGCCGGACCTCTATCAATAAAGTCCAGCTACAAGGACATCCAAGTATCTGGTCCAACAGATTTCACACTAAAAAGCATAAGGTACAATCAATTTAAATATAAATATTCTAAAAAACGTTAAAACCAAAAAATTATTTGCTTTAGAATTGATTTAGAAAAAAATCGAGTCCGAATTAAGCTATGGCTGCCCAAACTGGAAGTAATGTGCCAGTATGAACTGCAAGGAAAAATCTTGATGATGCCAATTTCCGGTTCTGGTGAAAGTCATGGAAATTACAGTAAGTTTTACGTCTTTTTTTCCTGTTCCACGCACGTGTATTGCGTGTTCATACATTGTTAAACCATGCCATTACTGCGTGTAACAATCGAAAAATTATCAGTGATTGTTTAGCGAATAAATGAAGTGCATGCAATTAGAATTTGAGTAGCTTGTTGCAATTGAATTGATTAAATGCATTTGTAGGCAATATTGACGTGACGATAACCATGCAAGGTCAGCAAATTAAAAAAGGCGACGATGTTTATTTCAACATCAAAGATTTTGTTGTGGATTTTAATATTGGTTACGCTGAAATCAAGTTGGATAATTTGTTCAACGGCGATAAGGAATTAGGTAATATTATATAAAAATTTATTTAAAAAAGTGTTTTATAATCATATATAACTAATAATTTTATAGGTGAAGCCATGAACTTGTTCCTCAACGATAATTGGAAACAAGTTTCGAGCGAAATTAAACCAGTGTTAGAAGATACTATCGCTTCGATATTCAAAAAGTTTGCTAACAAAATATTTCATAAATTTCCTTTGGATGTTTTACTTCCTCAGTGAATAAATAATATTGTTATTTGAGTAATTAATTCAATTACAAAATCAAAACATATTATACGTCTAGTTTTTGTGCTGGTGTAAGCATTTGCGTCATTACTTTGTTTACATTTTTATCATAATTAGCGCAATTACGGCGATAGTGGTCGTAGTAACTTATATGATTGCTATTTGTGAAAGTGCGAAAAATACTAAATACACATTTATTTGCGCAATATTATTCACTCTCGTCGCGTGCGCTATGCGTGCAATAAACTCACTTCTAATTATCATATACAATAAAACGGTATTTTATATACATATAAATTTATTATTATGTAATTGACAATGCACTTTCAAAGAGTTTTGAGTGTTAGTATAGGAAATATATGATTCCGTTATTTTTTTGCAAAATTAAAAAAAAGGAAAAATGCCAATAATGCACTTTAGCGCCATCTGGGAGTAAATTGTTTAGTTATTACTATGATTCAATCCCTATACCAATTATCAACTCTTGTTTAACACTCTTTAAATCATAATTTTTAAAATTTTGACAGTTATTCTACTATTCCGGATAGAAACGAATCCCAAAAATCAAAAATCATCCAAATCTATCCAGTCGTTAATGAGTTATAAATGGTGTAACTAACGCAATTATGGATTTTGTGTTCTTCTTTGATATTTAAAAACATATATGAAATATCTGATGCACATATTTATTTTTATTTGATTAATCTTTGTTGTAATAGAAATAGTTGCAATTAGAATTGCAAAATCCAAAATGTCATGGTGTTTCTCCAGATTAAAACCAAAATGACCGAACACAAATTATTATTGTAACTGGACTTTAACGACATAAACCTGACTTCTGAAAAAAGTCTCTTGCACACTCTATGAACGTTCGTCCTCATTAGCAACATCAACACGGTGTGTAATCCACTAAACGGACCTAAAAAAGAAAAACACAGCCGCCGACACGCTTTAGCAACAGGTCTCCTCCAATTGGTCGAATCGAGCGCAAAGCAACCATAATCCTCAAGAAAGAAATGCAAGATAACACTTTCACTTTCTTAGCGCAAGACGCTATACACTAGACACTCTACGCTATGTTGTAATAATCAACGCAGAGTTCGTTACATCGGATTATGTTGTTTTGCTACTTCCTCCCATGCTGTTAGTCTTGTGTCCGAATTGCTGCTGGGAATGACAAACCGCATTTTTCCTTCTTAGGTCTTTTCCTCACCATAACTACTATTACGTAAAATACTGAAGACGCCTGGTAGAGGGGTATATTTCTGCAAGTGGTAAATTGCATCGCATAGGCATAGCGGAACGAGGTGAAAAGAATCTAGTTGTGGTGTGAGTGCAAGCATAAGTTTAGTGGAAGATAATTTGTTACCACTACAAGATTTATTCACTGCTATATTTTTACCGGGGCTTTATCGACGTTTAAAGGAATATTCAGAACGCGATAGTGGATTAGTCGAAACTTGGTGGTTTAATACAACACATCTAACTGATTTTTTTTGCCAAAAGTGAATTTTTCGAAATTTGTGTTCACCATTTGAAATATGGCTTATAAATTTATTATTACATTATTTATTATTGTAAATTACCTTAATTTAAGTGTGTGTTATCAAGTTAAGGATGGTCCATTACTTACTTACAGACGTATGTATGAAAATAATTATTAAAAACAAATTTATTTATTTTCTTCACAAATATTTTAGCGCCATGGTTGAAACAATGTCGTCGTTCGGATCCTAAACTAAATCAATGTTTAAACAATTTATTTGATGTTATGTTTCCTGCATTAGCAAAAGGTAATTATGATTATTATTAATTTTAATCAAATAAAGGTTGTTTTGGTATAATATCACATATTTCTTTTAGGAATTGATGAGATTAACGTCGATGCGTTTGAGCCGCTGTATTTAGATAAGGTATCAGTGACAAAAGGCTCGGGTGCTGTCACTTTATCAGGAAGTTTTCTTAATTTAACTGTTGTTGGTCCATCAAACTCCACACCAACTTATACCGAGTAAATATTCTTAATTTAACTTAATTTTACTGTTTGACTGTCATTTCATCAAGAGATGGCGGTGGTGTTGATGTAGGTTAAATTTGAGGTTAGGTTTACATCCCAAATAGGTTTTTAAAAGGTCTAACAGTTAAAAAAATGGTATAATAGTTAATAATTTGGTAGGAAATTAATTCCAAGCTTATGTAATACTAAAATGGTGTTGAATAAGTCAAATTATCGTGGAGTATAATTCGTGTTGAGTAACTATATGTGAAATTTATTAGTGTTTATTAGCGTTATGTCAAAAATATGCATATATAATATGAAGAGTTATAAGTTATTAAATAAGCAAACATAAACTGACATCCAATTATTCAGCAGACATCATAATTAATACTATCCGGAAGTGTGCCGTATGTCACGCATGGAAAGAGAAATTCTAACGGATCATTTATTAACACTTAACGCAACTTGAATTTATTTACTTATTAATTAAGCTGTACTTTTTGTTTTAGTATAAATTTGGCAAAAAGAAAACTTAATTTTGGAATATATTTGCCTCTACTGGACATCAAATCAAAATATAACCTAAAAGGACATATTCTAATCCTGCCTCTGGTGGGACACGGCAATTGTGAGATGAAACTAGCCGGAGTGGATACAAAAGTCAAGGCTGAAATCAGTATGCACCAAAAAGAAGGAAAAGAAATTTTGAGAATCGATAACATGAGAGTGTCATTCACTGTGGAGAAAATTCGGGTTCGATTAGACAACTTGTTCAATGGAAATAAAGTTTTAGGTAAGCAGAGTAATTAATATTTACTAAAAGAGCTTTTGTAATAGGTTAGGTTTACTTCTGTACTTGACCTTGGCCCTAATTTACATATTATATATTTGATTTGTAGGTTTAACAGTGAACACATTCTTGAATCAACACGGTTTGGAAATCGTGCAAGAATTGGAAGAACCGATTGGTGAAAGTCTCGCGCAGATATTCAAAGACATTATAAACAACGTGTTTACAAAGTTGCCTACGGATTTGTGGTTACCGCAAGAAAATGAAACAAATGCAACAGAGAAAAAGAGTTAAATTATACAGATTTTCTGGAGTTTCATAAAAATTAATTTGTGTATTAGAATTGTATTGTGTTGGGAAGCTAATATCAAAGAATGCATTGGAAAAATGCTTTAAATTGACAAATGATGCGAAAAAATTATAGCATTTTTGTTATACGATTGTAGTACTTATATAAATGTGAATTTATTGATAATATTCTTGGTATCCAAGATGAAATCAGATGAAATTTAAGATGATAGATATATTTCACAAATGTTTAATTTGTTTATTTTGATACTATTTGATTTGATACTAAAATGTTTCCAATAAAATTATATTTTTGTATTTCTTATGATTAACGATCGCTTTTTAGAGTATTGTGTGTTGTCTATTTACCCAATCCATGAACTAATGGTATTTGAGAGCTATTTGAAAGCAGACTGTGCGATCAATAACCTAAAATGTAGTTACATTAATACATGTAAAGTGTAAAGCACTACCGATTTGAATGGTTATTATCACGATTAAGTAATTGCGATGATTGCAAATGCGATGGCGGTGCGTCCGTGTAAAAAATTATAATGCGAATCCGGTGCGCTGCTATTGCAACACTTTGCGCTGGTGTCCGACAACAATAAATAAATAAACGTATTTAGGTGTATCCACAACGAGCATATTTACGAGTTCGTTTGCACTTTAATTGAATTAATTTATATTCGAACGGCCATTAGAAGCATTTCAGCGACATTGTGATATTGTAGCATTGTAATGCGTGCGTAATGATATTAAAAGCACGCACGACGAATGCAATCGAGAATGGTGGAATAAATAAAAATGATTGCGCTTAATTCGTACATCGGTGTTTATTTAGCTCATGGCAAAACCTTTTGTTGTGCATCTTATAAAGACACCAGTATGGATTATTATAAATTGCATAATAATTTATTTGAGTCAATATTGGTTCAAATTTGAGAAATATAATTATTTCAAATGTTAAAATGACAGTTATAGTTAAATTTGAACTTAAATGTTAATCTTGAAATTGATCTACATACATAATTTGCGTTGATTAGAGATCACAAGTTGTAAATGATGAAATTGTTTAATGCAATCACTTGCACTTCAAATTATAATTTATGCAAGTTGTACTCATTAATATACTAATTGACTAGTTGAAATATACATTTAATAATGCAATTTTCAATTTACTTAAATTAATTTTAAAGAAAAATGTTTTTAAAAACATTGTGTATGGTTGGTTGCATATATTAAGTATAAGAAATTTATGTTAAATGAAATTTTAAGTTGCAATTTATATTGTAACACTTGGTATATTTGTTACACTAATTCAATCAAAAATTATCGTCAGAAAATCGCGAAAAACTCCACATTAAGCAATCGAATAGTTTCGCCACCGGCAAAGATATTAAGCACACGGTCATAAATCATTATTGCGGGCATCGGCGTCACCATCACCATCACACAATTAACAGACAAATCATAAACACGTAAACAATTGCAATTAAATGTGCAGATCGTTGAGTTTAAGGAGCATTTCGTGACGAAAATTCCAATATGCGTTTGAAGTAACAACTAAAATCAAATGAGAAATAATTAATGCATTGCAACACGCACATTGCATTAATAAATTACTAGTAAATAAAAACAATTGATTAGAATTCACAATTAACGTATTAAGAAATTACTAATAACTAGATATTTAGCAGGTAAACTTTACTTTGCAATTAAAGTTGCAAACTGGTAAATCAATAACAATTCTTAATTGGTAATTAAATACGCCGGACTTAGGTGTAAATAAAAATTATAAATATTTCACCATTAGACTACTGCATAACTTACATTTTACTATAAGGAAGTGGAACGTTTCCAAGAACTAAAAAATTAGGGACACCTACGCAACTTCACTGATGACTTTTATGTAATTCGTAGGTAATTCATTTTTCTATTCCGCGACATTGTTTGTTTTCCTCTCGAAGCTAATTGAAGTCAAAGTAGGTAGGAATATCCGTGGAGACAAGAAGTAAGTCATAAAGTCTCGTCGGTGTCGTGTCTCATGAAATTGTCTCAAATTATTATTGTGTGACCGAAATTATGCAGTCACATCATCAGATATCATAACATGAAATGGAAGAGAGAGAATGAAATGGAACGTGAAATGCTCCAAGAATTCTACGTTTTTTTGTTCTTAATTGCGTTGTTATGTCAAAGACGACAATAAATGAAAATAATGAAAATGAAAATATGCAATAGATTAATTTTGAGGTTATTTTTGTGTGTAACATAATCTGGTCTGTGAGTTTGTAGGTTAGTTCACGCCTATGCAATCTATATGAATAAGATTTTCTTTAATTAAGCAAATTGCTTAATTGTTACACAATTAACGTAACATGGAATGCATGAATCAATGTTTGTATCGTTTTCCGGCATTGTCTATGCACACATTGTGCATTATGCACTTTGCATTTGGACGGTTGGCTGCTTTGTTAACAAGACGCATTGAGAAGATGCTTACCACAGTCTCTTATGTCATTTGTGCATTGATTGCATCGTATACGTATTGTACATAACCACAAATCATAAAACGCAATAGAAAAAAAAAACGAATAAAAATATTATTTAGATTTATCATGAAAATAATTATTTATTTTATTATGGCTTATAATTTAACTTGATGTATGTTGTATTGTATGTTATGCTATGCTTGAATATTATATAAGAACGGAACAGAATCTAAAAATTATGTCATTGGTGTATGCGTCGACGAAAAACAAAACAAATTGTAAACATTTGCGCACCCGCAATAAATGTTACTTTGAAAATCACCTTTAACGTAACGGTGGCACTAAACTAGTGATTACCGTGACATTACGCATTGAAATACAGCCTCACTCTTGCACCACATGCCCGATTGGTCAATTAGACTCATCTTGTACATCATACTCATTGTGATATTAATGAACTTTTACGTTATGCAATTAATTAGCTAATGTACAACATTTAAATGTTTAAATGGCCACTATTTGTGCATAAATATAAAAAATGTTTATATTTAATATATTTTAGCACTTAACAAAAATATTGACCATTGACACATTAACCAATTATCTACAAAGTTCAAAATTTAAATTTATTATTTAGTTTTGTAAATTCTGTCTAAAAAATAAAATTTCAATTTTAATTTAAAGAAATGCGATCTCTATGATTGCATCTCAAAATTAATTTTTATTCTTAATTTTACACTTTTAACGTTTTATTTTTGATTCAAAAAGTAGCCTATTTGCTTTTCCATAATGTTAAGTATCCCTGTACGAAAATTTATCGAAATTGATTCAATAGTTTTTGCTGGAAAGCGTAACAAATAAACAAACAAACTCATCTTTGCATTTATAATATATATTTGTAAGGATTAACCTATTTAATACCCTTATAATTTAAAAAGCAACATTTAACATTAAAATATTTTAAATTGTTATTTATGTTTAGAATAATATTACTATTCATGGGAAACCCCTTCTTCATCATCCCTGTTTCATGAACGATCGCCGGTCGTCGGTCGGAGGTATAAAATCAAAAGACGCGCAGACTTTCTCCCGTTCAGCGCGTGTGACATAAACTCGTATCACACGTCGAATTTGTTTATGCCAGTATCTCACACGCGCAGCAAGAAAAATAAATAAATAAAACAACGTGATAAACTACATTTTTACATTTATAAAACTAAAGAAAAAATAATATTTTATAATTATAAATGATTTTGTGATTTTTAAAATTGAAATAATCTAAATTTTATTTAAATCTTTAAAATGTCGAATAAAATGATTGTGTTGGGTGTATTGTTCCTCGTTGGTGTCAGTTATGGACAACAGCAACCAGTGGTAGATAATATTACTACATTTATCACACGTAAGTCCTCAAATTATTTAAATAGTGTTTATTTATATAATCTAATAATTATTTGTCATTGGAATTATCTATGTCAACTTGGAAATTTCTTCATGTCACGATCATAATATTACACAATCCCTCGTGAGTATTATTGCCCTGCAATAAATCGTCTTCATTGCTATTTCGGCTCATTGCCGATTATTTATCAATACTTTTTTATTCACCGGTTCAATGCCATCATTATGTCACAGCGTCGTACGTTTTGTACGTTTTACATCAACATCACTATGAACACACCTACAGGCACTGACCAGCATAACAATGTAAACAAATTACATACTACTAAAATGTTGATGCTTTTTAATGGAAATAATAGTAATACTATAGAACATCCTGAATGTTGCATGTTTATTAAGTTGCATAACTCTAAATAACTTCGAATAAATTCGTTTGTTTGATAATGTTTAATAATATGCGGTGTAATATTTTATAACACTTTAAACTGCGCATGAAATGCCAGCGATCAAAATTTGCGGTGGAAATTATGCAATCACGGCTCACAGCACGTTTTATCCGTGATTATCTGCGTCGGCAAAAGTCACGTTACAGGTGGAGTCCCTATAACGTGTTACATTACCACTAGTACTTATCGAATTAAATTACTAGCGCGATTTTTTTTACTTTCGGTGCAATAAAAAATGAAAGTACAGGAAAACTGTTCGATTTGCCGTTACATATTCCTACATAATACACGTAAAAGAAAGTTCTTGGAGTAAATATTTATTTATTGCTAAAGTGACAAACGCGTAAGAAAAAACATAGTGCGCTCAAAACCTAAAAAGAACTGCGGTATCATGTAGTGCGTGTCACTAGTGTAAACCATAAAGAAAGCATGTGTTTTTACAAGTGTAATTATGGATCGGATACAATTTAATTGTTTCAATGTTATAGTGTTACTAGGTTTTCTGCTTGGATCGGGCGTTTGAGTTTCCACTCGCCATGCGCGTCAATTACATAATTGAGCGCAAAACATTCGCTGTTTGCAATTGCGTCATTTCCGCGCTGATGAGGTTTTTTATTTAAGCGAAAAGCGCGCTTGGTGTGCCTCCGCCAGCGGGCTAATTGCA